AATATTCAAAAATAACAAATAATCATCAGAACTATGAACAACTTATATGAAGACATAAATCTACGCACCGAAATATTGTGGGCAGTTTTGACGCGGGCTACGAACTGAGCTAGTATGAAACGAGTGTTATGTTGTAGGCTATCTTCATACTCTAAAGGTCGGATATACAAGTAAATCATAGGGGCGCATACAAATAGNGGTATATCTGTCTCTTATACACATCTAGATGTGTATAAGAGACTTATATTATATTGCATTATATTACATAATATGCGTAGACAGAGCAATGTCTCAATTGGTCAGAACATGGAACGTAGACAGTTCTACTGACACGTAAGTTACTTCCATGCCTACATAGCAGGTCGCGTGTGAGGTTAGCTACAAGTAAATCTGGGACTTGGAGGCAAAACATGCACGCTCTCGCAAAAACATTCCTGCGATGGCCGGGAATCGAACCCGGATCAACTGCTTGGAAGGCAGCTATGCTCACCATTATACCACCATCGCCTGTCGAACAATCTGTTATGTTATAATAATAAATTATATGAAATACAAAATTAGTATTTATACTACTGAAACTTGACATTTGGCCTCATAATTTAAATTTGTGTCAAATTTCTGCAATAGCAACCGCCGCACATGATAGTAAACCAATTTACAATTAAACAACTTATATTCGGTTAGTGTTCAAATAAGTCTTAATAATTCTTGTCACTGTTTCTAAAATAAACGTACCAATCTTATATAAAGATTTGTTGAAAATTTTATTTTATATGATTCGCAGTAAAGTGACAAGTGAGTGTCATAAAAGGAATCCGCAAAATGTTTAGCAGAGCGTGGTTTCGATCCACGGACCTCTGGGTTATGGGCCCAGCACGCTTCCGCTGCGCCACTCTGCTATGCCGTGTGGCACATTCATTACTTCATAAATGCATAATATCAAGGCTTGCATTAGTAAAACTTTCATTCAAGAGTACTTGCAACAATCAACGAGAAATTAAAATCATTGTATTGTAAATAGACCAAGATTTATATCTATAATAGAAAAACGAGTGAGAGATGGCAACGATAGCAAAGATAATCCCATAAATTTCAAGATGCCTCTTCATACCTGGACTCGGAAAAATCACTTGCACGCGTGTTATGGTCTTGAATTTAAGGGAGTTATGAGATTGGATCTTTTATTTTTTTAGTCCAAATATTTTCCACCTTAACAGAGCGCAATGCGAGTAAAACTTTGCTTCTTATCCTCGATTTAGTCCGTTTCCATATGAAACTTCAAATCATAATGAAATTATCAAGCTCCGAGCGACGAAATGTTCGTGTTGTTCACAGGACTTTGTTGATGATAATGCTTATACACGAAGGACTCCGAGCGATCACGTCAAGAGGTTTGCCTAGCAATTTGATCGTGATGCGATGAAAAGGATTATGGCAAAATTAAGTACAATTTTCGGGTCATAAACTTGTGTAATTATATATATAATTATTGTTTAATAAATAAATCACTAAAATTTAATTCTGAAAAACACAAGCGGGGATCACGACATAATTCAAGCACCATTCAAGGCAGGCACGAACTAGTTCCTTACAAATGGCACGTTCCTTCTACTGGTGGAAAATAAATTTAATTTTTCATCTTTTTATGATTTTTGATTTCTTATGATACCTCCGCACTCATTTCTTGAATAAGGCAAATTTGAAATGTACCAACATAGACGTGATGAAAATTAAACGAGAAAAGTTCAAACGTGAAGCAGATTCAAGTGAGATATTTGTTTGACCACGTCTGTAGCCGAGTTGATGAGTTCGATTTAACCAGTTGAAATACGCGTTTTTCTGGGTTCGATTTAACCGGTTCAAATCCGCGTTTTTCTGGATTCGATTTACCCGGTTGAAATCCATCCCGGGCTCCCGGCGGCCACTTATTCTTGGCAGGAGATCTAGGCCAGCGCAAGGCTTCTGTGCGAAAAGGATGTCATGAACCTGTTCCTTTCCTCTTAGCTTATCTGGTGTCCATCTTCTACAAATAAATAAATTTCTGGAAGCTTTTAACACTCGCGATTACACTTTCCAAAGCATATCCCTCATTAGTTTCACCAATGCCTCAATGGACGCTAGTTTTGTAAAGAATTGCTCATCAAGCTGAACACACTTATTGTCATCCATCTTTGCCCGTGCAATGTATTATTGAAGTTACAATTTAAGCTACAATTGGAACTGCAATGCGTGATCATGTATATGGTACCGGATTTTTTAGTCTCTGTCTTTGGGGGAAAAAAGTTACTTTCTCTACCTTCAAAAGAATTATCCCAACATTAGGATTTTCGAGAAGGAATTGTATTTCAAGGTTTTTGACATACAGCCTTTTATTATCAATTTTTAATCTTGTACCGTAAGAAATAAAGTATAAAAAGGCATTTCAATACCAAATTATTAGACATTAATTAATTTATTTTTGGCATACATTTTGTTTCAAAGTTATTCCTTGCTTTCATTCACCATTTGCCTTGAATGTTTCAGTCTCATTCAGCCTCAGCACTACCGAATCTTTCTTTCCTGCGACGCTTCATAGCCGCGATTCAAGGCCAAAGAATGTGGTGAAAGTTACGCGCTGCTGTAGCCATGGGCAATATGAGTGAGAACAAAATAATGACTGGCTACCAAGAAGCTTTCAGGACGAAAGCTTTCCGAAAATCAGTTTAATCATGCATTAAGACAGCAAGTCTTCTAAAAAATATAATAGCAAATGAGAAATGCCTAAAAATTGACTGATATTAATTGCATTTTTTCAAAGACGAGCCTCTCAGATCATACCTTCTGATAGAATAGAATGAACAATGAACACGATAGCCGAATTTGCAAGGAATTTTTTTCGCTTAAAATCTGAAAAAAAAACAAAGCATTAGCAACAGTATAATAAATATATTGAGATTATGATTTTTTCACTTAAATAAATAAATGAAAATTCTTTCATCCAAATTGATTATACCTCTTTCCTAAATTGATGATGAAGATGATCTGAATAAATTGTCCTTATAATGTTATTATTTTTTTTTTTGGTATTTCCCTTTTACCGAAATTGTCATTTATCATTTTTTGCAATTCAGTTAGCCATGCATGGTGCCCGGATTTGATGGGCGGAAAAAAATTTGACTGGCGGATATGAGCGGATTTGATTTGATTTGCGAATTTGATGGACGGATTTGATGTTCGGAAAGGCATAATTAAGATAGAAAACTCTCTGCATCAATTGCAATGCAAAGAGCATATCATCGCGATGCAGCAATGAAGGCATCTCTTCGTAATGCGCGTCTACGCACAGCTGAGTAACAGGGTAATCCTTAATTACGAGTCAGGTTATATTTATGCGGAGCCATGTAACAGATTGTAGTTTTATTAGTGAATTTCAAGTAGTTTTTTCTTTTCTAGTAGATTATTTATTTGATCTCCCATAGGATAAAGATTTCAAAAAGTGCCCGTTTTCGCGTAATCTAGACTGCTTTTCAAACTACACCGACAATCCTGCTACTCAAAATTTAAATGCAGAAAAAAGCCTTGCTGCATCTACGCTAAAATTTGATCAACTTCCCTCGTACATAATTCTATATAATTAAATATTCAACTGCTTGCCTGACTGCACATAAGCAGAATATTATCAATTTTCCCAAATGGATTTCATCCACAAACTAAGTCAAAGGCTTATCATAAATAATTTATCCCTACCCTCTGACGCACTTATGTGATGCTGCGTTTTTTACAAGGACCCAGACGGCCTTTGCCAAGGACCAAGCCAGTTAGTTCCGGACCCAATTTCCAGAATCCCGAACCGGGTTTACAGCAATTTTCTTACTATTGCAGGAATTATCTTTAATATTCGAATCAAATAAACGGTGAGGTAGTTGAACACATGCAGCTCTACAAGCTAGTGTTGTCAGTCCCCGTTATACTAACACCTCATGAACAAACTTTTGACAAACTTCCTCCTTCATCACAACTTTGTTGTCCTACGCATCGAGCGTCACGCTATTGGCCAGCGCACCTGTGGTCGTATATGACCTCCTCCCACCGGGTATATAAATGCGGGGACCCGGGCACAGAGTTCACTTGCGACGTCGACTTCGTGATTATGGCACGTGCCACGGTGAGGCACAGCTCATTTAAATGAGACAGAACTTAATTCGGTACCTAAATGATAGACGTTCGAATGGTAATTTCAGGTCATTGACATTTATAACAGAATATCAAAGCATAATTTTATGAACGTCTGTTGTCAAATTAGTTATCAAATTTCATATATGCCCGGGCACAGGGAAGAAATAATTTTATACTAAATGATAGGATAAATAATTCTTTATTTCCACTTCTCTTAACATGAGGAAAATAAGGGTTGATTTTTCTCAAGTTAACGAACGGAGTTAATGCAACATATTATGAGGCACCTCCGGCTCAATTCTAAGTAGACTCATTACTCCTATTTTTGTGTGAACGGCGTTAAGCTTTGAGTTGCACGCCGTCCTTGAACAGAAATCACGAATAATTCACGATTTCAATGGGCAAAATAATGACAGTAGCTAAACGATGATCATGCGATTGTGCAGTTGCATATTAGCAACAAACAACGATGTCATTCAGTACGCAATAAAACAACTACTTAACACTTGATTTGCAATTGACTGATTTAAAACAATATTCATTTAATTGTATGTAAGTAAACTTCATATTGCAATTCATTTCTCTTCTCAATATTCATAATTTTATATCGAATTGCGTTTTCGCTTCTTTCTAATTATTGTCGGTAATTTTTGCACTTTGTTACAATTTTAACTGAATTAACTTCAACATTTAGAGCAAACAACTTTCATTGTGCTCTGTAAACAGATTTTTTTAGGGCTTAATTTTACGCGTTATAAATATGAGAAGGAAAAATAAAAAGAAATTGTCATTTTATTCCTAATGAATATTTTTTTCTTCTCCCAGGATCTGTTCCTCGCTGTGCTGGTGTGCCTTGCGATGCTGGCAGGCTATGCAGCGGCGGCCCCAACCGTAGTAGGCCTTGGCCATCACCATCACCACCACGGCCATCTCCTCGGCTATGGAGGCTACGGACACGGCCACATCATAGGCGTTGCTCCCCACCATCACCACCATCACCACTACGTTGATGACATCTTCTTAGATGTTGGCTATGGCGGGTACGACTACTACTGAACCCTGGTGCGTTCTGAGTCATCTCTGAGACCAATTTTCACTAAAATTGTTCGTCAGAGTACGTTATAGTTGAACTTTTTAAACGGTTTAAACGGATAACGAGCAAAGCGGTGTCATTTTTGAATGGGAGTGCCGGCAAGAAAAGTAGTTGGACAGAAATTAACATTTATGAAAATTTACGTTATATTTCACTTTCGACCCAAAATTCTTGATGTTAACGATGCGTTTCCCTACATAGTTCGTTTAAGACTACAAATCATGCGAAAAGTTTTATTTGTATGAGAACTATTTTTTTTCATTGTTGTAATAAATTTTTAGACGCAATTGATTATTAAAAATCTAATTAACAAATCACTTCTTTGTGCAGGACAACAAAATAGAGCAGCCGATGACGGACGACTTTTCAACTTGTAGATGTACACATTTTCTCCATTAATATTTATTGAAACTGTGAATGAGATTCATTTTTATCCTCCAAAGTTCATATCTTTCTCAAATTTTAATTGAGAAGCTTGAGGGAGTTGCGGACGCTGAGTGGAATATCAGTTTATAAATTTGTCGCAAATTCAAAGATCAACATTGTGTTACGAAAACAGATTTCTAATTGTCTTGAAATATTTGAAGTTGTTGCAATAAGTATGAGTCCACTCGATCTATGTGTATGTGAGGTTAAAACTATGAAAAATATATGAACCAACCGCTTTCTATCGTAAAATTGGTATGGAGATAATTTTTCAAAGAAGAGGGTAGAGGATTGCATGAGGTCCTAAGTTCCTGATGCATTTTTACGTACACCGGATAAACGCACTCAGGACAAAAAGGACTTAAAAAGACGTTACAAAGGCTTACGCATACCAGACTGACGTACACAAGACCTAAAGACACTGCAGACTCACGTACACATGACCTACACACATGGCACATTAAACCCACGTACATAATGTCTATACGCACTCAAGGCTTACGCTCATTGTGCTACAAAATAGGTTCCCAGTAAAATTATTGAGGGGGAACCTATTATCTATTAAGGGGAGGTATACCCTAAAATTTTCGTATACGGCTTTTCTGGTATTTAGTGTCGTCTTAAAGCTGACATTCTGCCCTATCCAATGATACCACTGGGATCCCTGTACGACAATTTTTACTTACATGACGGCTCTTTCAAAGGGGGCGGGTGGGGGAGTTCCTTCACTAATTAGATAAAAGGTAATTAGCTGCTGAGCATTTTAAATATAATTTCTACTTGAGTTGCGCTGCAGTTACATGCTTAGTCTCATCTTAAAGCTGACATTCTGAGCTTTTCAACGATACTACTGCGATCGCTGTAAGTGAATTTTTACGCACACGGCTGCGCTTTAAAGGGGGGCGGGGGGGTGGATTTCCTTCACAAAATAGATGGCAGGTAATTCAATCGCCAAGACTATATATATTGGTGTATCTGGCATCAAGCCTCAGTTACCCTGTTCGCTTCGTAGGGAGAGGTTTGCTGCAAGTCGCTGCTAGCATCCTTGAGTGGAATTAGGCTACAGAGGACTGTAGTTTGGTCTCTATGCTACATTGAGTCACTATTTCAAGGCACGCGGAACTTTGTCGCGCCGTCCTGAAAAGTTCAACTTTTTGTCACGGAAAAGCCTAATCCTCCTAGAGTTTTGAAGCTACAGCGATGAGACATATACCATTCTATTCGTAAAGACCATACCTATCGATTTACGAAGCCCTTTTTTATATTTGTGCATAGTTTGGATTCAAAATGGGGGGAAGGGGGGGGAAATGAGAAAAAATAAAAAAAAATTTTAAATGCGTGTAAAAAAACTAAGGCAAAAATCGAGAATCGGGCTTCGGTAATCGATTGGTATGGTCTTTACAAATGGAATGGTATATGTCTCATCGCTGTAGCTTTAAAACTCTAGGAGGAGTAGGCTTTTCCGTAGTGCCCCTTTTTCCGTTTTCTATGAATTTCACGTTTTCTATGCATTTTTTCAAAAAAATCACACAAACAAAATGTGATTCTTTTGCGGCTTTACATATATGCGTGAAGTTTCAGAAAGATCCGGCCGTAAACATAAAAAGTTTTTTTCAGAGGGTATACCTCCCCCTTACGCTCATTGTGCTACATAATAGGTTCCCAGTAAAATTATTCAGGGGGAACCTATTTTTCTAGCAGTTATTTTTACGGGAACTATTAGATCAACTTGTACAATAATAACGCACACTAGACGCATGTACACTCAACCAGACTGCACTATACATATGTACACGAGGCGCTAGAATGCACACAATACAAGCGGTTCCCAAACTATACAGGGCGTGGAGACATGGCAAGTGTAGTGTGACGCATTAGAGCACATTATAATTTTCAAAGTGTCTTTCAAGTTCACCTTTATTGATAATAGATATAATCCCGGCTGCATGGAAGAAGTCTTCAGAACACAGCTGCGGGAGGCGCGAGGTGCCCATGCAGTACATATGCCAGTAAATATGGTGCCCAGTATATGCCAGTATATAGTGCCCAGTATATGAGAGTATGTAGTGCCCTAAATATGCCGGCTGTATTCACTGAAAAGGGGAGCCATGCTGGAGTTAGTTCCGCTTTGCATTCCTCCGATCATGTTATGCTGTATTCATGGTCATTTAATATGTAGTGCCTAAGTGGTTACCGATGCCTATCCGAAAAATGCAAAGCGAATCATTTCACAGTCTGCTGCAGCAGTTGAATAAACGTGACTTTATTACTTGTGTTCTCACTGTAGAATCGATAGCAAAATTGTCGGTATGGGATTATAATTAGGAGCTTCTCTCCCACATCTCCAGCAACGATCATTCAGAACACAAACACACTCGTTGGGTTTGAACAGAATCTCCAATGCAGTACAGAAATAAATGCGCACCTGCTGTTATCTTCGTATTTAGAGATCATATTTCCTAGTCTGTACTTACCATTTCATAGTTAATAGAATAACAATTGACTGAATATTTTGGTCTATTGCAATTATGAATCTCGGTGACATCAGCACGAAAATTTTTTTATTCAAGTGAGATCCTCACCAAACCCTCACGGTATTGGCAGAGAGTAAAAATAATCATAAGCTTGCAATTTTGTTTGAAAAGGACAATAATCAATAATACTCCACTTTGCTATGTTTAATGTAGCAATCATATATATTTAGTGCTGAAGTGGACCAATTTTTAGCGATGCGACTTCCTCCAAAGGCTGAGGTTCAGAGCTCACACTCTGACGGAGTTCTAGGCTGCAGAGAACCTGTGAGCCTCTCACTGCAGGGCAGAGATGAGCCTTGTATCATAGATACGAAGCTTCGTATCATGTATACGGCCAAGCCTTGCCACATTGTATCTCTGCGGGACAGACTCATAGCTGCGGCGCCTTAACCTAAAGGCCAGATCACAGCTTCTATATATGTATGAGTGTATGATATATGAGTATATGATGTATGAGTACATGATGTATGAGTATATAATGCATGAGTATATGATGTATGAGTATATGATGTATGCGTATATGATGTATGGTATATGATGTATGAGTATATGACGTATGAGTATATGATGTATGAATATATGATGTATGGTATATGATGTATGAGTATATGATGTATGGTATATGATGTATGCGTATATGATGTATGAGTATATAATGTATGAGTATATGATGTATGAGTATATGATGTATGGGTATATGATGTATGAGTATATGATGTATGAGTATATGATGTATGAGTATATGATGTATGAGTATATGATGTATGAGTATATGATGTATGAGTATATGATGTATGAGTGGCAGTTATTTGACTACTCCCGAGTTCTGAAAAGTTGTGCAGTGCAAAATTAGCTAATTGTATAATGCGGGAATAAATTTATAGTTTATTTATTGCTAAATTTCAGACATTTCATTATTATTTTTGTCCACCGTAATATATCTACGCCACTGAGTCCTATTTCTACTAACGAATTTTTTATTAATTAATTTTGCTAATTAAATTCCAGATGTCCTGGTACTTAAGTTAGTTTGATCAATTTGAAAAATAAAATTTTTTCTATGTTATTGTCAGCGCCTCAAGGATAGCTAGGGCCCGAAAATTCTCAATCGTCCAGAGGTTAATGACCGAAATAGTTTGGTACAACTGCGTAAGGCCTTCAAGGCTTACATTTAAACCAACCTATATATTCATTTTATAGAGTATATCCACATAACCAACCTAGTATTCAAGACCAACGCAAGCAAGACAACGTAAACTAGGTCTTTGAATGCCGAATCTAAACTAAACGAGCCCGGCGTCCGCCAGCGGCCTCGTCGAGCCTCGCAGCTCCATATGCTCGGGTCTTTGACCAACGACACTCAAATAAAAGCTTCCATGCAACAAGTTCATATGAAAGAGAGATAGTTTTAACGTTCCAATACGATACAATATTTCTTACGTGGAGACTTGGGCTCTGATTGCACGCGAAAGTAATTGCTACACATTTATTAAGACTTTTTTATCGAAATTGTTTTTAGCATCAATATTAAAATATTTTTTTATCCGGTAAAATTCAATTCATACCCTAAACTTCGGGGTGAAAAAAAAAGTGAACAGCTCAGCTTTTAGCCATATTTATTTGGTCTTGGACCATATATTGCACAGTGGAAGGAGAAAACTACTACCGGAATCTACATTCTGCTATAATTTATGCATCAAGAATGACTGAATAACGTGCTCTAACTACATGCCGTAATTAACATTCTAGTTATTATTAAAGTTCGGATCACTTGGACCAGAACGAAAAACCCGACTTTATTTTTGGCTAAATGTGCTTCAACTGGCAAGGCTAATGTACTTTTACACGAGTATTTTCGAATCAAAATGATATTTACTAAATCTACTAAATTTACTAATTTACTAAATAACGCTGAGAGGGTGATGCCGGTTAATTTTAAAATTTGACTGAAATTGTGGAATATTTTCTACACAATAAATTTAATAATTATGCAGAATACCATATAAAAGATTTTTCTTTCTTATGTGAAATCAATTCACACACACTGCGTAAAAATGAAGCTAGTGTAAAACAGGGTTGGCCATTAATCTAACTTCTAAAAAGTAAATTACAAAAAGTAAATTAAAATACTTGAAGTTTCTCTTTCTTCAATAGGCAAATGTTGAGACAAACTCGGTGAAGTTTGTTTAAAATAGTAACATAAGTTACAATATAAAATATTTAAGACAAATCTATGATTACAGCTACCTCATGAATATTGTTTGAAGCCAAGCATTCATATTAATAACAACAAATTATAACTAAGACTAATTTTAATGCCATTCATAATGCCTAAACTGGAAACATTCAACATTGCAATAAAGGTAGTTTCCATTAACATCATAAGTGAAGACTAAAATAATAAATAAGGCGATTTTTCTATTTGCAGTTTCACTTAAGTTTAATTTTCGACTTCTAGTGCTTTTCTAACGAAAACTTAGAACATGAAATAGAACATCCGTTAGAATCCCTGATCCCAAAATTTCATACAGAAATTTTCAAACAATGACCTTAGTGTAAATATGCAATAGTTGCCAAGAGGTTTTCAAAGATTATATCACAATTGCTACCACTTTTGTGATACTATGGCTGTTCAGTTGCGTCTAAAGGGTAATCAGTCGTGGAGCCAGGGGCTGACTCCGTTCCGGTCTCCGCAGATTCAATGGCGGTGAATTCTTCAATGCCTGATCGGAATCTGGTAGGCACTGGCTGGGAATTTGGTAGAGGGGCGCCTGAAACCACGGGATCAACTGACGACCCAGAGGCTACGGCTTCGGAAGGCTGGGCATTATTGTTTGAGGTTGCATAAGCTCCAGGCTGAATGCCTGTACCCACAGGAATCGAGTTTGGAAGAGGGGCAGTTGCGACAGAGGAGCCCGAGCCTTCTGGCGCTCCACCAGGGGCTGGGTACGCAGGAGGCACTCCAACGGGGACAGTATTGGATGGCACTGCCCCCGCACCGGGACTAGGGTATGCTGGAGGCACCCCTACTGGAACAGGATTGACAGGTGGTCTACCTGTATCGGGAGTTGGGTACGCTGGAGGCACCCCTACTGGAACAGGATTGACGGGTGTTCCACCTGCACCAGGGGTCGGGTATGCTGGAGGCACCCCTACTGGAACAGGGTTGACGGGTGTCCCACCTGCACCAGGGGTCGGGTACGTTGGTAAATTACCAACTGAAATAGGCACAGGATTGCTTGGGAAGTTTGGAGAAACTCCCACTTGGCTCTGGCCTTGAGGAAAACTGCCAGGCGGTGGGTATCCCGAAACAGGAGTTCCTTGCACTGGTTCTTTAGGCACGTCATTTGACACCACGAAGAAGTTTTTGTTCATGTCGTACAGATGATGAGCTTCAGAGCACGGAACTGCGCTCTGAGACCATGCGCACACCATCGCATCCTGTGAACAATGATAATAGTACAGACAACCAACACAATTTACGTTTAAAATTCATATAATTTCGTGAATCTTATGTGCTGCATCCTAAAAACCAAATCATTCTTAACATCATTGAGCCACTTTCGTAAACAAGCCTACTAATTAATGTTCTCAAAGGTTCATTAATATTCTTGATAAACACCCAAAATCGTTGTATTTTATCATGGGCACACTATGAGGTAACTAAACAAAATGTTTAAAACAGATCTAGAACACATGAATTTACCTGAGAAAAGATTGTGTACTGCGGGCAGATGAAGGAAAAGTGGTAGACGTCGCGGTCGGTGAATCGTTCCGGGAACATTTGCTTCAAGGGGACGCAGATGTGGAAAATTTGACACTCGTTAAGTTGGTCAGCGTAGTACCCATAAATCTGGAAACAATAATAATAATAAGTTTAAAAGTTCTAGAAGAACAAAGTGTTATCAAATGTTAGTTAACAACATTATATGTAATTTACATTAATTCGTATCCTGAGTTTAGTGACGAATATCGGACGTATACAATTGTGTACTTATCAAAATCAATTTTAGAGACTCATGACTACGACAATTTCCGGTTCTACTAAAAGGAATGAATAATATTCTTTAGCCATTCCAGATTTTAAACTTTATTGTCAAGCTAGTATATCTGGCTGAAGTGAATTTATTCATTTGACTACTTATTCCAAATACTTGTCAAAAGACTTTCAAGCATATTTCATTTGTGTAAAATGGGTTATAAACTTGTATTATTTCCAGAACTTTTCAAAAGGAATATATTATAAAATATATAAAGATTAAAACTTGCCCTTCCATCACAGCTGAAGCCTTCCACTATGTTTGGTCTAATCAACGTGGCATTATCAATGAGTCTGTTGACGAGCGGCACGTTGAAGTTCCCTCTGGCGCTGATCAGGCGAGCGCCCCCGCGTACGTTCTTGAGCGTCCCTTCGACGATCTTGCGAGCGAAGCGGCGGTTAACGGAGCTCGACTCGGCGTTCTGTTCGCTTGGCCGACGTCTTGGCAGCCGCCGTTGTCCGACACGGCGCAAAATTCGCTTGCGCTCCGCTGGTGGAGAAACCAACTTTCGGCGACGCTGGTTGGCGAAATATTCAGCTGGTACATCAACCCCCGAGTGGGCGTTAGTTATCCGAACTGAAGGCCTATTGTGGATGATAGGTCGCTGGTTCCCGCCGAGCTCACCGCTAGGGGATAGCTCCTCAGAACGTCGGGTGCGGCTCCCACCGAATGAACGGCTGCTGAAGTCTGCAGCTGCGCTCAGCAGCACCGCGCTCACGACGCCTGCACGACAAATAACAAACTTTAGCGGAGGCGTATAATGATGAAAACAAAGATTCAATCCGCAAGACTTTTGTTCACACTTTGCGTTATTTCCTACAACGGTAATAACAATTTTCTAACACTTATTGAATGTCAAATATTTCGAAATGTCTCTCGATTTTATAAATTGAGAATTTCGTATAATGAATGAACCTTTTATTATAGATTGGACTAGATCAGCTAGTCTTTATAGTAATTCATGAACTACATTTACGTCATGAGACTATTGCTGCAGTGAATAGGTACACTTTTAAAAATTCTCAAAAATTCCTGCCACCTAAATACAGCAAGTATAAAACGCATATACACACCACACACAATTTTTCTTCCATCAACATCAAGTTTACTCGTGTTCTGCAACACGAGGAAAAGTTATACCGCTAACGGAACTCAATAGCAATACTAATGCGGTATCTGAAGTATGCAACAATTACTCACATAGCAGCCCCAGGATTCTCATCCTCCCTGAAAAAAGAAAAGAGGAATTAATTACGTAGATCGGTAAATCTAATCATAAGTTTTTAGGAGTTTTCTCATCAAAGTAGCACATATTTGGTCATAAAAGAAACATATCAAGTCATATATATGGACTACGTTCATTGCTTCCTTCCGTTCTTTGCATTTTTGTATTGCAATATAGGGTAAGATTGGAATTTAAAATATTTCTCTTTGCTATTGCAAGCCAAAATTTACAATTTGCTGAGGATTAAAAATGAAATGTGACTGCAAATTTAAGGACGTGCCTTGTCACGTCCTTCAACTTCTCCTACCGAACCTACACGTCTCTGTGTGGGACGATGAACAGGTTTCTCTACGCAGCGGTTGTGTGACGTGTAGGGGTGGGTGTATATATGATTGACGTGCTACATCGTCGGCTGCGAACGTCATTCGCGCGTTGTATTCTGCTCCTCGACGGCAGTCGTGAGAAAAAATACTCGTCTTACTTCCCTTTGTGGTTCATGACCCCGTCGATCAAATCCCGTTAAGTTATTTCTAAAGATTCATGATTGCCTCAAATTTTTGCCGAAGGTTCATTCACGAGAACAAATAGGTTAGAGTGTTTCTGTACCACAAAAGAAAGTTAGAACATTTTGTCTAAAGAAAATAAGGCTGGGTTCAACATCAAATATTTTAGCAAATAAAGTAGCTTTTTGTCTTGTCTTTGTCTATCTGCGTCTCCAACAAACCTGTGAGTTAATTTCGGATTAATTTTATCGGCATCAAAATTGTTCTTGTTATTCGTATGTTTTGTCATAATAATGCAGACCTGCATTAATAATTGGATCGACAGCGGTTGTCTGCTTTTATTTAGACTCAACGAATACAAATGAGTACTATTTTTAAATAGCAGTGCTGATACCTTATATCGTTTGAAAGTCCATTTAAACTAAACGGCTGTCAGCCAAAGCACCACCTGAGCATGAAACTTAGCCCTCCAGTGATGCAAATTAGGCCAATCGATCAAATGATAGCGATGCGTACCGTTACTGCAAGAGACGGGGTCTCAAATGCCCCATTAGTTTATGATTAAATGTAAGCTCTTTATTTATTCGCTCTCAGAAATTGGTTGTAAAAACTGCTCTACGGGAGCCACGCCGACGAATTTTTTATGTTTTATGGTGCACCCGTTATCATGATTAGACAATGATTTAGTTTTAAAAAGAGTCTTGAACTGGGCACTGGCTAAAATACATAATTTTATCCAATTACAACATAGGTTTTTTTACATACAAGAAATTCAACCCATCATAACAAGCCTTACATTTTTTGATGTTGTTAATACACTCGATCCTATGGAACAAAATCACCTCATGATTGATCTGAAATTACTAATTCGCTAAATTAGCTTTCGAAGTCATTGTAGCAACTCGACAAGCCAGCTAATACGAGGCGTGAATATTCACACCTACAATGAAATAATATTTAAATCATCCAATTTTAGATTAGAAAAGATGACTCCTACTTATTCAATAATGGCTGACATTAGTATTTTTGTTTTTCTTTGTTGGTTTAACGACATATTACATTGCCATTGAAAATACGGCGTTGTTTGCATTCTACGAAAAGAAGAAAAAGGATAAAAATAAGCGTCGTGGCATCAAATTCATCTTTACCGTTTTTTTGTGCCAAACAAAAGGCGTTGCCGCGCATACCTCCGACGCATAATTGAGCCAGATCCTGACGGTGTCTCGTACGTAGGTTATAATTGTTGGTTTAATTACAGACATCGAGAAAGCAAAGATAACTGCAGGCATCGTAAAGCAAGAGTAAATGAGTTTTCCTGGTCCTGAGATCGCATGGGTTGGATGATTAGGGTTTTTTTTTTCAGTACTACAAAATGGCTAAAAATTGGTCTTATGATATCAGGCTTTGTTCAAAGCCATTTTTCCAGAATCAAAGGGTACATCTTGAAGCACAAGAGAGTCGTTAATATTTGGCAATTATTTTGAGCTTTAATAAATCTTTCTACCTCAGCCTTTACAATCTTGTCTTCTTGGTGCTGGTCTAAGGATTTATTCGTATAAAATTTCTAAAGTTCTGGTCATTGCGATGCATTTGTGGCTGGGTGGGTTGTAGATAAGGCAATGAAAAATGTGAGCGGGACTTTTTTCTTCCGTCGATGCAACTCATGACCAAGTACTTATATGTTGTTAAGTAGTTGGAGCTATAGCATATATAAGAAAAAACGGCCTAAAAGCATAGCAATGCACGATGGCACTTGAGCCAGGGAGTGGCGGGGTCACTGCTCCTTTACTCCGCACTGCGCCCCTGGACGCGCCGCTGCACGACCTCACCACGCAGCGCCCATGCAGCGCCAGGCGGATGCAGCAGCGGCCTCGGTCAACATGCTTGTGGAGCTAACGTCACCCACTGCCTTCCAGCGCCGGTGCCGTAGGATACCGGTATCATAGGATACCGGTACCACAGGATACCGGTACCGTAGGATACCGATAGCGGCGGGCGGTACCATAACTTCCCGGTGCCATAGTACATACCGGTACCATATTATCCCGGCACCATAGTATCCCGGCATCATAGTATCTCGATACCGTAGTATTCCGGCACCGTAGTGCCCCGGCACCATAGTTTTCCCGTATCACAGTTTCCCGATACCACAGTATCTCGGTACCATAGTATCGTATCACATTTTTCCTGCGGGACCAAGGATCTATGTGATTATAATTGCACCTATCACAGCCTTGACTTTCATGGCTGGAATCCGAACCGTGGGACACTTCCTTCACTTTTTTCAGTGAAGCAGCGCGCCTTGGATGAGTGAAAGAACGCCATTTCCGTGACTGACACAACTCCAGGGGCTGCTCAGGCTGTCATGGGGGGCGCAGCTCCAAGCGGCTGGCTCAAGCTCGTCGACTTCATTTGTTTAACTGCTCGGCCGACCCTCTTTTGTTAGCACCTAACCGACCCTTCGTTCCAATGACCAAGTTCCCGTGTATCGGAAACGCGGAAACCGTTCTACACCTAGGTTCCACTAGAATAATTTTGAACCATTTATTTCGATAATTTTACCTACGTCTTAACTCTTTAAATTATTAAAACCCATTAATGCAAACTAAAACCCTTCAATATTAGCTCCGCGGCAAAGAAAGTTGAATCAGGATCTATAACATAATTATTTCGTAAAAAAATCCAAAATTACAGCCACAAGGCCTAATAGAGGATATTAGGCCACAGGGAGCGAACAATTCAAGTTCTCACAAATCATTTGCTTTTTCCTTCTTGTTTGCCACAACGATGTGCCGCCGATGAGCTGACCTTGAGACTGTGGTTGAGGACAATGGTCTAGCCGCCAACTGATTGGCACATCATGTATTAGGCTGCAACCCAACACCCTGTGTTCCTGAGGAGGTTCAAGACAGGTAACACGACTAGCATCGTTGCAGGCAGGCTATAGGACCTTACATCACACAGGTCCTATAGGAGGGCGAGAGTAGCGCTTCGCTCACCGAAGCTTCAAGTGCATTGCCTCCAGATAATGTTGATAATGTTACGCGTGTCTGCATTAGGAGACAATCAGGCGACTGGGGGACAATCAATTACTGTGACATTTATAAAGACTTTCCTTGTATCCAAGCCACGCTTGAATTAGCTTAGGCTGCATCGAAAATACAACTGCCATGTTATACGGTAAATATTTGTGATACCGAACATTATATGCAGAGATGACAGATCATGCAGACTGATGGAACCTTAAAGAAAGCAAAGCAGAAATTATCAGTGAACGCTAATATTTTCCATAAATGATAATTGCAAAAATATTTGTTGACGGAATTAGGCATCAGTAGTTTTTTTTGCATATTTGCGTAGAGTTAAATAGAGTTACCTGATCACCGCATCGTTTGTTATCACACTAAATATTTTTGTCATAACCTAAATAATATCTGTTATTTATCAAAGAAATAAATTTGTCAAAGTTCATATATTTGTTTCTGTATGTGTTTGAAGTCTGGCGCCGTAGATATATAGGGGCTATTCGGGCGCCTATATAGGATATATCTTCATTAGGGAGTGAGCTTCCTGTCTCGGGAAGCTCACCAATCAGTAACCAACAATCATGATTGAACTTCGCCCTGCGCAATCTTCAAATAGCCTTCCATCGAACTCGCTCGCATCTCTTCTAGATGCTGTACAATAATACAGTATATGTTACGTAAATAAATTATTTGAAGTTTCATTTATTTATTTTAAGGTTTGAAATACCTTAAGACAAAGCTTATTCAATCAGTTTGTAAGTGATCAGTTAATACTAGATCCTTATCAAAAGGAACCGAATAACCATATTCTTATCTATTTGTTCACGGAAAAAAATTCTTTATGAGTTCGCTCAGTCACAAATTACCATATAATATATTAAAATTCGACAGCAATATTACGATGCAAACGTCATAAAATGTAAATTTTATCAATAAATGTTCATCATCTGAAGCCATAGTTTGATCATTTAATTGGATTTATAAATAAAGATGCGATTTCTATTTTGATACTTTTTTTCGTCGATGCAAAATATCAACTTTAATTTGAATTTCAAATTTGATTGTTTTCCTAAAACGAACATACATCACTTTGTTATTTATTAACGGCATTTAGAATGACGGGAATCAGAACAACGATAGCCATGCTAAAGGAATCCAGGAATCTTATTTTCTATTAACCAATTTTTTAATCGCGGGATTCTCGAATCTCTTACATTATCAATACCTCGCATCGCCGTGTTAAGCTCCTAGTTCTTTATAAAATATAAGTACAAAGACTTTGGTCCTCATTAAATGATAATCATCAAGCACTGCCTGGCAACCATAGGCACCGGCGCTAGTCAGGTCACATTTCTATGCATCTCGTGTTTCCCGCTGAGAGTCCGTAACAGAACTTCTCAACTTTTTAGAGGGATGCACTTCTAATCCCATCCAGTAAAAACAGCCTTCGAAGAACATGCGACAAGAAATCGCATGTTAAAAGGACCTGGAGGCCGTTTTGCAAAGCCGAAGCTGGTTGTCCTAACAGTTCTTTGAACGTTTTCGGCAGTGCATCATAAATTTAGACATTATTTGTCCGCAAACAACCCGTTTGTCATCTTTTGTGTCAGGTGCATGAGCAAGAATTACAACCTCATAGGCGTGTAACTGTTCAACCAAATTATATTGCAGAGGCTGATATTTTTTCTCCAGTCGTCGCGCCTCCAGAGGCGCTGCCACGACGCGCGGAATGCTGCTCGACACTGGTAAACTCAGAGAAGTTTATGGTTCATATTGACCAAATAGTGCCTCACTTTTTCCAAGTAGCACCAACTTGCATTTTTCCCGGACACACTGGGTCTGGATAGCCCCCACTATGTTAAAAATTGCATCGCTATTTGGTCCAAGTCACTCATTTTAGACATTTTCTCACTCATTTATCCGAATGAAAGTCTTCTTAACGTGCTCTCTACGTAGGTATTAATAAGACATAAATAGATGATGCACAAATTAAAATGCAAGCAGTCTTCAAGTTTGGGGAACCAGCGTGATATCGTTAAATTTTTACTAAAATGATAAATTTAGCAATTAGAGTCATGAAACTGCAATTGTTAACGCAAGCCAAAATTGGATCAACAGATTTAATTTTTAGAAAATCGTGAGGTCCGACAGGAAATCCAAACTCAGGATGATGAAATAAAATAAATAATGTCGTAAAATTTCATAAATAATTCGACGTCATACTTATACCGGAACAACTTTATTACTGAATTCTTTGGGAACTATAATCTGATGACCTGTGTCCGGGCCTCACCTAAATTGCACGGCTTCATATGATCCAACCAAATGATAGGCTTGACTTTATTCTGGGCAATGGATTGCCAGTTAAAAAAAAAGAAATCAGTCCGCTCCGGCTGAGTTTGGATGCACGACGATACTGGGCACCAACATTATCGGCAATTAAAAAAACAAATGCAAGCAATCGCGTTTTGAGATTAGAAAATTACGAATTTTATCCATTTGGTATTAAGTACCAGTATATACCTGCCAGATGTTGAAATGAAAATACCTCAATAATGCCGATGGACTTTTACACTATAGGTGAAATATTAAATAAAGAACAATACTTTGAAAATGTAGTTAATACGACAAATTCATCAAATAAAATATTTTCTATTCGTTCTTAAAATAATGCGTGTCAAGGCTACTCGGAAGATAAAACTTGCTTCGGAGAAGGATGCCAAATTTAATCTCGAGACAAAATAAAAAAATATTTAATTCCAGCAATTTTAAGTTGCGTTTATGAATAAATATCGAGCAGCGACGCAAAGACTATTAGCAAAGGTCACAAGTTGCATTCGCACAAGATCACATGCAGAGGGAAGGCCAGCCAGCTCGCCTGCTGTTACATGGACCCACAGGTTCATGACCGGTTTACTGGAACACAGGATAAGAAGCCCCACTGTCACCACAGTTATAGCGACCTCCACATCAACACATAAAAACTATTACCATTGAATTCTTTCCATAAATCGTTACGGGCTATGCACTTGCCCGCTCGAGGGGCATTTCTGCAGGCTCGCTCTAATTGCCTAGCAAAAAAGTTTAAACGATGACCTTTTCATTTTTCACGTCATAAATGAATGATACGCTTCGGTTTAAACGGCAGGAATATTTTTGAGATGTGTTGCAATAAAATTACAATAAATTGTTTTTTTAGTAGTCAGGTTATACGGGAGACTGCAATGCACTGGCTTGTAAAGCTGATAGTTATCCTTTGTACTCGTAATAAATGCCCTCATAACCTAGCCGCATAACTTTGTAGAGTAAGACTAACAGCGGTAAAGCTACGGAAATAACATTGGAAATAGTATTTTTCTAGATGAAAGACGGCTTTAATAAACAACTTAAATACTCTAGTTTTCAGATCCAACCGAGCAATGAAGCTTGCAATTAATCTCCTGTGACTGAAAAGAAAAAACTTTTCTGAATTGCTAAAACGCTCCGAAATGGAAATTTTGCAAGATATCCTCAGGCACAATTAAACGGAAAATTAAATTATTGTTTGCCTAAGAGATGAACTTATTGCTGCCAAGTTCAATACTTGGCGCATAAAAAGCGTATAGGCGTCGAACACAATCTCCCTTTGTTGCTGTGCTATCAGTTCAGTTTGCTTTCTAAGAAACATGGTGAGATTTAAAAAAAATTCTCAGAAAATGATTAAATTGCTGGTTGGGCGTATGGCATTTCTTGGAAAGCATGCCATTCTTTAGTTGATCAATAACCTTTACATTCATTTCTTTTTATATTAGAAATGTTACCACAAAAGTTGCCAAGGCAACAATATTAATAGAATGAATAATTTTATCAGAGTCTGAAAATCTTGCAAGAATGATAACCATATATACAAAATTCTGTGTGCCGTGAAATTTTTATACTTCAATAATCGATAAGAAAGCTACATTTATCACGATATACTAGAACTGTGAATGCCGGGCATGTTTGTTTAGTAATATAGGTAATAAACAAACTTGAATCTGATTTTTACATCTACCAGCTTAACAAAATAGTGCAATGCCAAAAGCTGTGGGTATGATTGTGATACGCGAACTCGATTGTTCTTGCGACGGCCTCTACAAGGAAGGCCTGCGCCAGCTGTGCGTGTTGGTGTGGTGTCCGCAGCAATTCCACGCCTGATTTTTAATTTTCTTCCAGGAACTGTTATGGCGGGCGGTCTGGGCGAAGGTTAATTTGCAGTTTGGTGATGATGCTTCGCATAACTTGCTAATGGCGAACTTCCGACGCCGGCGAGCCGCCACTCCGAGCAACCTTCGAACTTCGAGAACCGTTTGGGAACAGAGCGGTGAACTACAAGGTTTCACCAACAAGAAAAATTGATGAATTTTGTTATTTTAGAGTGAAAGTACTGAGTCAGAATTCCCCCGGTGGATGCTAAATATTTTTGTTTCCATTATATTACTTCTTTAGAAAAATGTGAAATCAAGTAATTTTTGATTATAAATTTTTCGATTAGGAGTTCGTGTTCCTTATGGAACTTTGCCCGATGCGCATAAACATTTGAATATGGTTCAATATGCTGAGCATTAAATTAAATGAGTCCTAGTATGGTCTACTGCAACAATGCTCAGTACGAATTTTATGAGACCAGGGCATATGCATTCCAGCATTTCACCTGCGTTTAAAAAAAATCAATAGATATACAGAATTTAAGAACATATGCTGGTTTAAATTTAGGTTGTATCTGCATATTTTAGGGGCAAGGAGAGGAGGCCGGATCGCTGCTTAGACCGGATCAACCTAGTGCCCTTATCTCTTGAGTTACCGCCGCTGTAACGGTGAGCTCAATACAAGATAACGAATCCGGTTCACCGTAACATTGTGGTCACTTGTGACAGAACGCTCCTGCGCGATAGTGAACGTCAGAGAAACTTTAGAAAAACTGCATAATGGCTTTAAACTTTTCCATTTATTAGCATATGTTTGCATCTAAAATAATTTTTTCTGATACTCATGTTTCTGAAAATTACATAATGCTACATAGATTTGCGAGAATTATTTCAGAATATTCGAGGCAAAACTTTCGTACTCATATCTTCTACAAATGGCGCAGCGGCTTCTGCGAAACTCTTCTGTTCGTAATTTTGCCTTTGCTAAATTAACTAAGTTAATGTTATCCTTATCTTAGTGCCTAGCATTCTTGTTAATTTTATGCAAAAATCACGCAACCTGAACTACAAACCGAATTACCAAAATCACCGGATAAACTTCGACTTCTGTGAACAAATTTACCGTAAGGATCCTCCACGTAAACCAGGTCGACATGACTCACCTAGAACTATATAGACGCTGGATTCATCAGTTGAGGCATTACTTATTTGGAGCAGTCGCATTTATTACTTCGCAAGCGCTCGCGTCATGCATGTAACAAGGCGTAGTTATGGTTAACCTGGAAGATTTCGCTCCAGGCGGGTTCAGCTTCGATAAGTTAAACAATTAAAAGAATGAGGCTACGGTAAGTTTTGCTTTCAAAGCGTCCTGCAGAAGAAATTCGTAGCTATCCATAGAACAAACGGTAGTACAAAATATTGAATCTCATTTATAATTTTGATTAAGCAATGTTCCTGATTGTTTTTTAATCCTTCCGATGTTAATTAAGAGAATAATCTTTCAGTTATCTGATTGAGGATACGTGCTAACTTAGGTTCTCAATTAAGAATATTGTCGCTTGTTCGTTTGAAAACTGAATATATAATAAATTAATTTTTACGTTAAAACAATCAATTTAGACCCCGAATTAACGCAGCACTAATTGTAACACGGAGTGTTGTGCACTGTTACGAATTCCTCTTTCAATCCACGTGCATAGTTTTGTAAATTCTATAATCTCAATAAACATTTCAATGTTTCAACACCCAAATAATATCAACCGTCGTCAACCCTCTGAATAATCGTTCAAATATTGGGACCCCAAATTTGGGGTAGCCTAAAAAAGCCAGTACGTAGGATCATAAAAATTTATTAGCTGTACCGCTGAATGCTACACTCAGAAATTAAACAACACTTAAACTTCAGGACAAAATAACATCAAAAAGGGGGGTCATATGAGAGGGATACTCACCTGCGCTCTTTTGAACGCTGGCCAATCCGGTTTTGCGAACGGGTTGCAGTTCTTTGTAACCTAAGCGATTTCCGGACACAGGGTTAGCACGTCGCTCACTCGACGCTGCGATCGTCTTATCTTGGGGGCGAACAATATATGGTCCACAGTAAAACAATTAAACTTATGATGGAAATTTTTTCACGCGCGAGCGCGCCCGAGACAGTGCTACGAACGAGACAGCTAGAAGCTCAATGTGAGGATGTGCGCCGGTGCGCATAGTTTTATAAGCGTGTGACCGCAAGCGAACAGTTATGAACCATCGCGAGCGCTCACCTTATTGGCGACTGGCTGCAGCCCCAAGTTCTTCTGCGACCTTTTGAAGGTACGAAGAAACTTTATTCTCACTTTATATTTACTGAACTGCTTTACCTATCAGATAGTGAGGCACTCTCACGTGAATGCATAGATTTACGCTATGCAGTGGAATTTGACTGCGGTTGTTTGCGCTTAAATCTGAATAAAACAAGCGTTAGGTTTGCTGACCTGGAGATCGACTGTGGCTGACTTGTACCAGCCAGTCTCCGCTATAAGGATTCTTGAATGCGAGGCGACCTCGATCTGCAGCTATCGCACGAACCGTCCTTGCACCGCCCTTGCACGAATTTGAACGTTTAGTTATTTAAGTATATAAGTACCCATCAATATTTCACCGATTTTACACGTGAAACTCGTCACCCAACTAATCCGACGAAAAAAAAAACATTTCAAAAAGTTCGATGAAAGTGACATTACTTCCCACTCATTTTTAATATATGAAAAAGCCTCCATGCTATAGTTCCAACTCTACATTTGCACCGACGTCCGACAGACATAGCCGCTGCTCGCGTTTCTTTCTACGCGTAACAACCGTATAGTCCTCTTCAATGTTCCTCTTCAACGTATTTGGGATTTCTTCAGGTTTCAAACCGATATCAATGGACTCAATCCAGGCGTTCCAAAACATTTTTGGGCAATTACTCATCCCGAATCGGAAAATTTACTCTGTCTCACATCTCCTGAGTTTTAGGAAATCGCTATAGGAGATTTGCTCATCTCTGTAGAACAAAAAAGCTCTTTACTTATTTCACTGCGTAATTTGTTTATTTATATTTAAAATCATTTATAAATCCGAATAAAGGTAGAAAGCCACAATGTTTTTTGCAGGCAATTACAACGAACGCCGTAAATATCTAAGGTACACATGATATTTTGTAGGTCTCTCGGATGTTTGTGATCCTACTCCAGTGAATAATGGTTTAAAGTCCACCAAAACAAAAAATAGTCTTCAATTTGGTAAGGTCAGATTCAATCAAAGCTAAATAAGGCTTTAAATTTCCAAAACAATTTTCATGAAGATAGTTGGAGCCATGGTCAAAATATATAAGGTTGACCCATGCTTTGAGAAATTTCGACACCGTTCTGCGTATCTTTACTGTGACGACACATATATCGGAAAACGTAAACAAATGTCGTAAGTGACGTCAAGCATGTGTTAAAAGTGTCGGTTATAAAGTAATTTAAAAAAGAAAAAACATTCGCAAATTTTTTAAAATTTGTCCATAATTGTGTTAACCATGCCAGCGTCAGAAACCAATTCTGTCGCCCGGAAAGATGAATACGTAGATAATGAAACCTCCGGCCTGAGGCTCTGGGTGCTGACTTATCATGCAGCTTCGTGCTTCACTAATGGCTGCCACTTCTTTGATCGTTCGTCTGATTTTCTGAAAAAAATTAAAATGTCCTCAAACAAATTCGGTTTTTGTCGGTTAAGTGGATTTATGCTACTCTTTGATTGATATTATTAATTATTTTTACCCTTTTAATGCATCTCTTCCATATTTCAAATCGATATAACACGATTAGTTATTTCATTGAATGGCAAGAAAGTTATAATCAATAGTGTTTATAATCAATATAATCATTATATTGATTATAAACAAGAAACTAAACAAGCGTCAGAGTTATAAATAAAAACGGCAAAAATAACAGCAATTCACGAATGCAAGGTCGACAATGACGTGATATATTGGAGGGGCATTTCATTTTTTATTTAGCCATTTATTTGAAGTTCAGCCTAATTAAGGGTCTCCGTTAAAAACCATTAGAAGTCAGTCCACTTGATTGGTTGTTTTCTTTTCCATTTATTTGATTTACCGCACGAAATAATTGCATTGGACAGCGGCAATGTGTTGAGCAAGACATGTGTTGACATTGTGATCATTTTTCAGGAATGCGAGGTTGTCAGTTATATATAGAGCTAATGCAAAGAGGACACTTTTTGAATGTAGTTTACGAGCAATATTTACATTTTTAGCTACCCGTGACGTCACAGGCGGAACAATACACGACAATGACGACATCCGCAAGGCTGAGATGCGTGTGGATCATTTTGTATTAGTTCAACCATGTTTGGCGCTCAGTCACGGTAAAAACAGGGAAAATTAATCAGATAAGTTACCATATTAAATGAGGTAAAAATTATACAGAAATTATTCGGCAACCTATTCGTTTGCAGTCATCATGGAATTGTTGGTGTGGTCAGACTTAGACAGTTAAAATCTGAAAAGCAAAGTATTTGTGCAATTTATTCACGCGAAAAATGATTAATAATGTTAACATAAAGCAAATGGTCACGGTATTGTATTACCGTGACTCGCACTACTTATCTTCCCCTCAACTTGTCCCACGAATATAAAATATCAGATTAATGGGGAAAAGTTTTTCGCGTTTTCCATAGATTACAATAAATTTCGATGCAATACTTCTACGTGCTCGAACAATTTATTTCACCATTGACAATTCTTTAAGATATCATTCTGAATTTCATCACTTGTAATATGAGGGCATCTATACCGGAGACCACCCATACTTTCTTGGTAGATCTCCGACTTCTCAAGTGATGTTATGAAAGGAGTTAAATTTCGAATGAAAAGGTCTCCAGCTTTATTTTCCAGGCGATGTATCCTAGCTAGAACTGTCAAAAACGACCGAGTTTCGCCCATTACTCTAAGTGCGCAGTTACAAAAAGATATTTGTAATAAGTTATCCCGTTTCTTGGTTGACAACTCGCCCGAAAATGCTTTTTTAGTTTTTATATCAACATTAATTTGATGCCATCTCCGTTCATGCAGATGTGTCTGACCCATCAACCTCTCGGTGATCAACTCAGGATTTTAGCGCTCACATAATATGAAGCAACTTTGTACTGTTCAAATTTATAGGTTTTTTAATAAAAAATGTATACGTAATTTCATTTTATTATCAATTAAATGAAAGTGCAGCAAAGCATGATCATTCGATCAATTTCGGCAATCCAAGCAAGCAATCGATTTACCATTTGTCAGGCGGAACCACATTCGGCAGTAAAAAAAATTAAGAAAGTATGAAGCCAATGGTTCATTAAAAATAAAATGAACAAACAAGAACTTTGTAAATTTAAAATAACATAATTTAGACAATGAGTTACGTAAAGAGGTTCATTCCTACCACATTCATGCATTTGGCTGATTGGATAAGAATTAACAGTTTAAAATCCCTTATGCTGCCGTTTCAGTATGTCTGTACCGGCCGGAGCAATAGTAAATAAAATCATAACAATATGGTCATTATTAGATTGTAACATAATAATAAGAACAATGAAAAACGCCTCAATGCTTAATACAATATCCCTTAAAGTACGTATGGTAATAATGCCCAAAATAAAAATGGCGAATGATCTTACATCATTATATCTTGCAGCTACTGAGGTTTGTTCGAGATTTATCTTCATATTAAAATAAGAAGACCATTTTAGTACTTGAAATTAACTTCAGGAAGCAACTCCTACATGCTAGCATCGAAATAACATACTTTTTAATGAGCATCTCATACACTGGAATGCAAATCCTGAATCCTATTTGTACTTTCCGCCCACTGGCAAGTCTAAACGGCAACATTTGTTCCAAACTTGAATTGTATTTTCATCCCCGATTGCGAGTAGATTATTCAAGTACATAATAAATTATGAAATTTTTCCCTATAGTATTAAATATCTGTTGTATGTATCAAAAACTGTCAGCTCATATCATTCAAGTTCGCGAATTTCCTGTTATTGTGTAGGCAAGCAATTCATATGTAGCTAAGACTGTACGAATGAGTTTCGATTTCAGGCAAGGCGCACGTCAAAAGCTTATTAAGCGGTGATCAACTCATTTTTTCGGCTAAATATGATTAATTTATAGTGCCTGGGAGAGATACAAGTTTTTAGCATAGCTTCCTGGAAATCAGCCTTGGAATGTACCGGGCGCAACCGCTCCTGTCACCGGAGTACCGATTTGCGGAGGAACCCCTGGATAAAAAGGTGGTGTACCGCCGGGAACAACATATCCTCCCTGACCCTGCGGTTCAGGAGGAGGGATCTTGAAGAACTTCTGGTTGGTTACATCATACAATTCTTGGGCGTTTTCGCATGGGATGACCTCCGTGGCCCAGCCGCAAGTTAAGGATAGTTGGTCAAAAGCCAAAAAATCGTTGCAAATGAAACTGAAGTCATAAGTTATGTCAGGGACATCCGGATGATTGTTGAAGACGGACTTCAGTGGATAGCAAACGTGAAAGACTTGGCAGTCATTCAGAACGTCGGCATAATATCCATAGATCTGTAAAAATCGGAATGATTGTTAGGAATACATCTTCTGTAAAATGTGTGGTTTTATATCATCGATAAACAATAATTTTACAGCTCTTAAATGAATAAGGACAAATTAGCAAATATTTTTTTTAGTCTAATAAAAAATCTGCCAACTGAGAAATATTCCCAACGAAAATTAAACATTAACTAGTGCATACGGTTGATGAAGAAAAATTCTTCACATGAGCTTTAAGAAGAAAAAAACAATAAAACGCTTGATTATTCACAAATAATTTCGCTTTGTTACATTTTTAGAATTATAATTTCTCAAATGTTTCTCATTTCAAAGACTGTATTAGAGTTCTGAAGAACCCTTAGCAAGAACGTGCTCTTACTCTTCCTGCGCAGGAAAACCCGTCTAGAAGATTAGGTCGAATCCGCGAAGCATTGGACGGAAGTTTCGATTCAAGGACCGAGCCGTAGGTCTTCACCGCCACAAGCTGCGAGTACGAGGGTGCGTTCTGGGTGACTTGATTCACGATGGCGTTGGGTTGCAGGTAAGATGGTAGTGTTGGTTGCTGGGGGTACGGTTGTGGCTGCTGCACTACCGGCTGTTGTGGCTGTGCCACCTGCGGCTGGGGGTACTGTTGTTGTGGCTGTGCCACCTGCGGCTGGGGGTACTGTTGTTGTGGCTGTGCCACCTGAGGCTGAGGGTACTGTTGTTGTGGCTGTACCACCTGAGGCTGAGGGTACGGCTGCTGTGGCTGTACCACTTGTGGTTGTGGATACTGAGGTTGCGGGTACTGAGGCTGTGTGTTCTGCGGCTGTGGGTACTGCGGCTGTGGGTACTGTTGCTGCGGCACTGTGGGCAGTTGTTGCTGTGCTCCTTGCGGCTGAATGTATGGTTGTTGTTGCTGTCCGACTTGTTGCTGCCCAATTTGCTGGTATTGCTGCTGCCCCTGCTGTTGGTACTGCGGGGCCTGGCGAGTAGCAGCGACAGGCGCAGACTCAGCTGCAGTGTTTGGATTACGCAAGACATTCGTGACGACCGCCTGCTCTACCACAGACGACCCAGGCTGTACTTGTCTCGCCCGCCTCACCCACACCTTGCCGCGTCTCTCACGGGCGTCGGCGCAGGTCGTAGCCACTGCAGGCGATCAAACGGACGTGTAAAACGAGGTAAATATAAGGTACGGCAGAACGGCTAACTTTATAACAAAATATATTTTTGTTATAATGCAAACAATAATAGATGAAAATAACAATGAATTTCCAGAGTAGGGATTTATGAAAAATTGTTTTATGGAATTCATATGCAAATAATTATAATTTATTGTTACAAGAAATTTAATATATTCAGAACTGTTAAGACTGGTATAATGCGTCACGTCAGGAACTGCTACGAGTGATGTCATGCGTCATGTCAGGAACTGTTACGAGTGATGTCATGCGTCATGTCAGGAACTGTTACGAATGATGTCATCACGAAGATATCGGTCAATAACTCTTCTCCAATTTAATAATTTAAATTAAATTATTGATTGGTTTCAGTAAATAGTTTGATTATTCAGAAATTCCAATTAAAAATGCAGAATTAAACGTGCATCTGGTTCAGTTTAATTACAATAGTATGTATATACGACCTCGTAACACACGTCTACCAATTTACCTGATAATATGAGGACCACAGCAATAAATATCTTCGGCTCCATGATCTGTGGATGGGAAGGTAATCGTGAACATCATAAACATTCTTCATGTTGCCTTAATTAAGTTAAAAATCAAACGAATAATGTGCTTTATGTTTATGGGTCTAAATAACATCTCTTCTTGTCATGTGGGCTTAGTTTTCCGACCTATAGTTTGCATTCAATCAGATATATATTACCTGCATTTTCAAAGTTTTAATCTCCCCCCCCCCCTAAAAATTATAAAAATCGACGAACAAATCTTTACTACAAATAAGGGTAACCAGTAATGAAGTAACAATTTTTAGTGATTTCAATTTTCACTCTTGAAGGTAAACTAGTACTTCCTTCTCTTGACCGCTCGTCTGAGGTCACCCCGACTCGAGATTTCAATCGAAGTTTGCAGGTTTCGCAGTTCACAACGCAAGCAATTAGCGCGCGCTTCCTGAAGTTGTGTCCTTGAAGCGGTGGCAAAGAGAAAAATACGTTACGCATTAGTATTCAATGTATGCACATTTGAAATTGCGTACGTGTTCCCAAGATATTGTTTCATCCAAAGCGCCTTCAGTGACAATTACGTGGACGCTGTGAGCTTGCCTTTGCATAGGCAATAAACCAGGATTAGGCTGTAATTGTGAGCTCACTCCAGAGACCAGAGTGTACCCTGCAGTTATGGGTCCAAGCCAGAGACCAGAGTGTACACTGCAGTTGTGGGTACAGGCCAGAGACCAGAGTGTACAGTATACCCTGCAGTTATGGGTCCAAGCCAGAGACCAGAGTGTACAGTGTACACTGCAGTTATGGTTCCAAGCCAGAGACCAGAGTGTACAGTGTACACTGCAGTTATGGGTCCAAGCCAGAGACCAGAGTGTTGCGGAACACGGAAGTTGCGGGTAGGCCAGAGGCTACGAGGTAAACTGCAGTTGTGGGTCCCGGTCCATTTGACAAGGACGTCGATGGCAGTTGTTGATCTCGGCAAGAGACTATAATAACCATTTAAAATTAGGCACCATCTTAAATGTCATGACTGCCGTGCAGTCTAGGATGTAAATTGTTCTGCACTAAAGTCTATAATTTTGACCGCAATCTATACTGCAGCCTGCAGACTCGGGCGCCGTGCAGTTCGGCTCTGGTCAACGACCTGCACGCCTCACCAGCTCCCGGCCAGACGCCCCAGCTTACGTCTCCGAGCACAGGCTGGAAGAAGCACGGCTCGGTCCTCTCCGTCAGACTGTATCTCATTATCTACTTAATTTATTACCATTCATTTGTCTTGCATTCTTTGTGCAATTGTATTAAGTTTTTAATGTATGATAATTGTCTTTCATGCGTGTGCGTCTTTGGAACTATATAGCTTTTTTGTTCTTTTTTTCGATTTCGCTTGAATGCAGAGAGAATGTTTTGTTGAAATTTTTAGTATATTTAGCAAGAAATTTTACAATCAACGCTCAATAAATTTTTGAAGAGAATCTAACATATCGCATAAGCTAATATTTTGGAAAATATGTTAAATGAACTCGCCCTCAAATCTGCTGTCCTAAATCTGTTATCGACATAATACGACTTGAATTCTACCGCGTCACACATGAAAAATCGACGAATTGCTATTAATTTGTTTAGACTTTAATTAATCACTTAATTGATCGTTGGAGTGTTTAGCTCTCCGCTGTCGTTTGCGTGTTGAATGGATTTCACATCAACAAAATGTTCATACCATGCAGTCTAGTCTGATATTGTAAATGCTATCAGACAAATGTTGTGCAAAGAATTCTCATGCTGTCAGCATCAGTCGTTGAACAAGAATTTTTTTATTTTTGTTGCTGATTACCCATAATTCGCTTCAGTTATAATTTCCTCACTTCAACTAGAGAGAAGAAGAACCACAATTAAGCGGAGCTCAAAACAAACATCAAATTATTATTTGAATGATCGGTATTTTCAGTGATTCTCAGACAAGACAGTGATGCTCTTATTTAATGATCTCTCTTTATTTGTTAAATGTAGACTGACCGATATTGATATAAAATATTTAACAGAATAATGAGCAAATAATGAGGCAACAGATAAACGGTTTTATGACTATTTTCATCTCACATCGCGACACACATTATACGAATTAATTGCACCATGTCGACATTCATAAAAAACTTTTTTTTCAGAGGAAATGAAAATGAACAAAACTAAATATATGCCGCGTCTTTCATAGCCGGAGCTGAAGTTCAACCAAGAATTTATTGCTATGAAAATATTGTGCTGTTACAATTTCAACTGCGGGCAGTATTTGCTCGCTCATTGATTTATGGTGCAGCTTTAGTTGTGCATGCGTTACTCAGACACAATTATTTGCATTAAATAATATCTCTAAATTTCTGCGTGTTATACGCCAGAGAGTGGGTTTTCTTTCCCTCTTGCGGCAGTGGCTTCGACCTTCTCGTATTGCCTGGCCAATAATTCAGCATTAACGGGATGAACCAGTTCTGTTCGGGCGGACCGAAGCTCGCGCCACGTCGTCCTGCTCTAGACGCCTGCAGGTGCGGGTGGTCCTAAATCACATAGGAACACTTCTTATAGATCTGCTTCTCGTATCATGTAAATTATTGTGGAAATTTCCCGCTTCAACTAAAATAGCATCGTCTTTTTGTTTCACTTTCTCAAATAAATGCAGCATGACAAAACATATTGTTAATTTTTTGTTGATTAAGCACGAGTATCTTAATGGCGGGCGAAAATGTAAAATATTTTATTGAAACATTTTGCTTATTTTAATCCAAGTACAGCCCAGTCATAATCAATCAGGCTTGCAGATAACAGAATCCAATTTTTGTTCAAGATTTTTTCATTGTTGAATTTTCTCTTGAAACCACTATATTTGAATTAGCTTCAAAAGGAAAAAATACTTTCGAGACTATTTCAACCCAAAAGATGAGAGCTACATGTATCATAGAGTTTGGCAAACAACTTTTCAACCTGCCTCTCACTTTTCACTTGCTTGCTACAGTTCCTTATTGCAACTCACCGGAGTTTGTCGTGCTGCAAGACGAAGTATCAACGCGAGGCTCGTGTACGTGCTGGGTTCTGGCCGCGAGGGTTGAGATGTGATTGCGGTGTTGGGAACCTGGCCTAGCTTTTATATAGCTCCGGTCAGGCGGGAAGGGAATAACGCTCTCTGGTGACCCCTGGTACCCTGGTGGCTGCATAGAACAGCATTATATGCAGCATTTACATAAGTATATTCTATCCTTTCTGTAGGTCTTTTTTATTATATTGGCGCGCCCAGCGCCGAGTGCCTTCGCCGCCGGCAGACATCAGGTCATCTTTGATCTCTCTAGTCGAATGCAGTTATTCTAAATTATACTAATTTCAGAGCCTGAAGTATCGAAATCTATACCGAGGATTTTATTCCGAATTACAGAATAGCCCCTACAACTACAATTTAAATGCGCCAAATAATTTTATACACGTACACTAAAGTCTTTTGTTCCGTTGTTAAATAAAAGTTTCCAACAAATATTGTAAATTCGGTGATATTTTTCAGATGAATTTTGCACTTACATTCTAAAGTGTATAATATTACGACACACTAGAGCGCAAAATTTATGAAGAAGTTTGGGCCCAAGTTCAGCAAGCTGCATGATCAGTGCAGCCAGGTCTTTATTGTTCATTGTTCCCCTAAGGACTTCATAAAATACAAGAGCCGAGAGTGATCATCCCCTGCAGTAACGTGTGTAGGGCTGCAGCGCTCAACACTTATTGCATATCTCTAATAAACTTTGAATAAAATTCAAGTTCACGGTCCTTTGTTGTCGGCTAACGAGTGACCAGCCCTTGAAGCATCTTCGGTGTGACACCGAGCATCGACCGTGACGGATTCAGCATCTGGCAACAAGATTAAATTTTTTATTGAGACTTTAAATCGTCAATTAGAATTGAAACTGTGATCATCCCACTAGGGATGATAACAGATCTAGGCTCTGCGTCGGTAACAAGAAGCGATAGTGTGTACAATAATAAAAAATAAATATTGTGTCTAATGAATGCTAGGAAAAAATGGAACGACACATGAAATTGTGGAACAATAGTAGCATGTGGGCAATTCAAATTACAAGCCACAATTATAATACACTCAATAAACATTGACCGTGAATTTCATGTTGAAGCGCATGAAATGTCTGATGTTAGGAAGCACAACGAACTCCCTAAAACGTCTGCAATCCAGCCACGCATGGTCGAATAAAAAAGTGTTTTAGTCGACTAAAATGTTAATTAAAAGATATTTTAGTGAATAAATAAAGGCCGAAAGTAAAATAAAATTAGAAGGATATTCACTGACCATGCTTATTGATTGCATTGTGTATAATTGTGGCTTGTAATTTGAATTGACCACAGGCCAATATTGTTCTACTATTTTATGTGCCGCTTCATTTTTTCCCAGCGACCACTGGACGCAACTTTTCTCTTCATTATTGCACACGCTAGCGCTTCATTTTACCGACGAATTCTTAAAAAAACTCTACACTTTTTTTACTTTATTTCAAATTGCCTTATGAAAGAAAACCTAATATGTAAGTAAGTGTACGTATATAGGTAACTAATGGGAGCTTAATAAGCAGATGAAATTATAAATATTTTAGTAATGGTGCCGCAATTATTTTACATTGCCACATTCGACGCTTACCTGATCCAATTGGTCTTTTTTTTTACACCGCCACCATCCATCCTATATAAATAACGACCGCAAAAAATGTCGTTGACATGCAGCAAGACCATAAATGTATGGGGTCGCTCACCGATAATAAAATACCTTTTGCAGTGATTTAAGACACAGCCTGACATTAGGATTTTGAAAAACATGCTCAGAATTTCAGATTAATTCGGAGCTAATTTATTCTAAATAACTAAATAACTTGTAATCTGCCGTACGCCATTTTCCGATCCTGGTCTCAGATATCGTGCTACTTTATTGAAGTTGTTTATGAGACTCGGGCATCAGACAAGTATAACTTCAGGATTATAGTGCAGCATGGATTCTTATTTTGAAAAATTTACACCTGTGCAGAAAAAAAAATATCATTACATATTTTACACTTTGCGTTATCGTCAAAGTGAGATCATAAAATATCAAATTGAACACCTTCTTGGAATCGATATTGTGCAGCTGAGGCACAGTGAACACAACACCATCCACATGTTTTCGCCATACAGCTGCCCTTTGACTTCAATTATGGTCTCCATCATTTGATCTTTTAAATACAGCTGCTAAAAATCGTCGTAGCTCAATAGGATTTGAGTGAGTCATTGCACGGTGGGACGCTTCCAGACAAATGCAATAGTAGAAGCACAATTTTAAAATGCAAATAACTAAATTTTTTTCGTCAATTTGTCCATCCATGGTGCTTGATAATTTTTATCTTCATGTGTCAAAAATTAAAAGTATATTATATTACTCCATAGACGATTTTTTCTAATTCGGTACAAAATGAAACTCAGAGAATGTAGACTGCATGCAAATATGACTTTTACGCAGTATACGGACGTCTTTATAACTCATAGCAGTGTGGTCGATGACTGAGTTCTTAATTACTAACGTGAAATGAATGTTCCTAAAAATTTAATGAGCTTACTTCACTGAAACATGTTTATTTTAATCCGTAGACTTAAACAAATTTAACAGCGCTTCAAAATGTGTTTATCATTGATTAAACATTTTGTTCAATAAATAATGACGTTAATTTCTTCCACGTGACAATGTCCAAACTATGTAACTAATGCAATTGTTTAATTAAATACTGCACGAAGAGTGATTTCTCTTGCATGAAAACGAATCTCATCAATGCCTATGAGGTCGATATTGAAGTGAGAAGGGAATCTGAAAAAAATAGTCTATGTGTTCATGACTTTAAAATATAAATATGGTTTTCGCGGTAAGGTGTAAATTGGGTAACGGTTTTGCACCACGTCGGCGGCTTTCGTTGCAGGGGGGAACCGGTTGCGTTCATCTGAAGTATATAGGCGCATCAAGTTCATTGTCGCGCAGGAACCCGCAAAAGTGTCGTGTCGCAGCATTCCTGAGGGTTACTCTGTCTCTGGTCTTTAATCTGAAGGCATAAATACCCATACGTAAATCTGACTGTCTTATTTTACTCCGATAAACATTTTTTTTAATTTATATGCATGATTTTTACTACTAAAAACTCATCTCACAAGTCATAGAATAAAAAAGAATGTGGTCTACGTGGCTAACACGTTTTACATAATTAAGAATGGTATCGGGCAGTGCATGTCCGAGTAATGTTGGTATAAAGAAAATAGTGGGGGAAAATAAGGCAGATGCCTTCTCTTCCAAATTTTTCCTGGTTTGATCATAGAGTTATTTTCATTGTTTTTACGCCTGTATAATATCTATACAACAAATATTTCATTACGTGTATTGTTTTGTAGTATATTAACAAATATTCTAGACAACTTCTCATGACGAAATAGAAAAAAAATCGTTATAATTTCAGATTTAATAACGCGAACTGATCATAATATTGGTAGACAGTTGCTCATTCCGAACGAGAGTTGTTAATCTCGCATTAGTTTTAGCTTACAATAGTCCGGATGTGTTCAACGTTATGTTGGCTGTGGGATGGTTGAATAACCGCTGTAGATACCAAAGCATTTGTCTGGCAAGTCAGCGGCCACTGCGCTAAATTGCACTGGGCCTGAAATTCGCCCTAACAATGAAGGTGGCCTCAAATGCACCCGAAAATTCAGATATAAGAGAATTATTATTATGGAATTCATCTCATGATCGTTATAAAGAAATCCTGAGCTATGTTTCTACCAGTTATCGTGTCCTACGTTATCGTCTGCCCAAATTTGCACACACGCTGAATTCGTGGATTTCCATAATCTGGGAGAAATAATGATTTAAAATTAATGCTCAGCAGGAGATTATTTAATTAGTTGTTGAATACTCTGGTTAGCAGATGGACGAGGGAAGCGCAACATTTAGTGTTCCTTACATAATTAAGCTTTTAATGCTATACATGTCCTGAAAGATAAAAAACCCCGACAGTTATTTCCCGACAATTCTTGATATCACAGACGATTTATTAGAGCACAATGGAGTTAACAATTAATTAAGACACAAATTGAAGCTCAAACTTTTACTTCTGTACAGCAGGATCGACTCAAATATAAAATATAAAACTGCGTTTTTTCTACGAATATTTCAAAAGATTTACTACCACCAGTAGAAGATATTTGAATTTCGAAATTAAACGGCAACTAAATTCTTCGAAGACATCTATTCGCATAATCTCATGGACCTCTCTCATGCTAATAAATTAAAAAAGCCTGTTACCTCTGGTGGCAGTACCACCTATCTTGCCATCCCATCAAAACCAAGAAAAAAATTCATTTGAAACCGAAACCATTTATATTAGAAACCAAATAATGGAAACTTGCTACGGATTAAAAAATTAATGTTCGGCATAAAGTGCGAGACAATAACCTTTCTCTACAGTTTTATTGGGAGAAGCACGAGATGATTGCAAACTTAGTAGCTAATGAGACTGCAGACGAGAATTCATGTTCGGCTCCAGCAACAGGCTACAACTCAAGCTAAGTTACTGCAGTGAGCGGATATAGAGGATAGGTCTGCACAACCCGTTTGAGCGTTAGGACAATGCAGGTCCTACATTCTAGTCAGGACAGCAACCTCGGGATATGCCCAGGTAACGGTTAAAAGCTTCAGGACATGGCCACTTTTTGGTTCATAAAGCGGGCCTTGCACTGTCCTGCGATAAGTTCAGTAAAGAACGATCGTGAATCATGTCGGAAACTGCTGCGCGCGTGGATGCTGCATCATATGAGAGCTTCCAGCTAATGGAGCCCTACAGGCTACAGATCATATGAATTCGCCTCACTTTTCTCTCTCGACGTCTCAAGAGCCGCCAGTTCGAATTAAGTGAATTATACAACAACAACAAAAAAATAACAACATCGACAGTAGAAACTGGAGGACGAACAATGCCAAACCAAAGTTGAGCGAACTCTCAGATTAGCGGTTTAAGATGCGTTTCTCATTAACAAAAGCTAACAATCATAACACTAAAATTTAGTATTATTGTGTTGAAGAGTGGAAAGTAATTCAAGATAATTATTTAAAGCTACGTTTTCATTGGCGATAATTAGAGAAATTTGTGCAACATTAATATGGATAGAGTTATCCTACAATTAACCGCAGGCTTATATATTCAATAGCAACTCAGGAAAATCACCAGAAGGTTGCTTACGCCACTCGAGAGCTGTAGTTGTGAGGCAGCGACCGGTTGGATCAAACTTGCATTCGATATCATCATGAGAAACAGTTACTGCCACAAGTGTCAAGATTATTATCTATACAAAATATTGGTGGTTGATAAATGGATTCAACCTAAGTAAATTAGCCATAAATGTTATTAATTACAACATCCGTCTAGCTTGCGCGATCATATGTTACCATATAATTGAAGAAACTTGGGGCCTAAAACCTCGCGCCCATTGACCAATGTCTGGTGACCATTGTGCATGAGGTAGTTGCCTCGAGAGCAGACTCCAACAAAAACATAATATCTGTATTCGTCTGCTTTTTCGTCTATGGGGCTTAGGCCATTTGCTCCTTACTGAAATGATAAGAAGTCAGTCATAGGTCTCATACAAACTAAGCAGCAAGATCGTGGAAATTCAGGCAAGCCGTTTTTCAGCCCCGTCTCCAGAAATATAATCGTTAATTACTTTTTAACGCAATTGTCAATCACGACAACGATGCCACGCATTCAAATAGTAACTAAAAACTATGTTCGCGCAGAAAAATATCAAGTCATATAAGACGGAAACTCCTACAGACATCGTGGAAATAATTCTACAAGAGTTAATTCTACTTGTCCCCACAGAACTTAAAAGACATCAATGCTAGAGCATTGATTCCCTAGCTATCTACTTCTCCCCACAGAACTTAATAGATATCAATGTTGGAGCATTGGTTCCCTAGCTACGCGATGACACATCGGGTGGTACGAGAATACTTTTGGGACATGAACGATTTACGTCAGTTACGTTTTACCTCTCAAAAACGATTACTGCCTGACACAACATAATCTGAAAATTTACAACGATTGCCACACGCCACTCATCTGTCACAGTAGCCCACCATTAAATTCTAACAGTACATTGAATCAACCTGATGATTATTAACGCATCCAGTAAATGGCAGGTCTCAGGTGGTTCTTAGCAGCCGTACAAAACTTTCAGCGGCACTCGATATTATCTTTCAGATCTCAGTCGTTTAGCTCTTCTGAATTTAAGAAAGTTTAACGATGGTGAAGGCGGCTACCAAGGTTCCAAGATCGTTTTCGAGCATTAAAATATTCATTGTAAATGAAATCACAATAGGATGCCCCTGTTCGTTGATGGCTTTGGCATCAATATTCCTCAAGGCAGAAATGCCAAAAAGTACAAGAACTGCTATCGAACGCATGTATTTAACATAACAGTGTTTTCTTGAGGCATTCACTCAGGTTTGAATCGGGTGCTTGCAACGTGGCATGGGCTTTGGCTCATGTTGGAATAATTTGGTTCGATCAGCTTATCGAATATGCTGTTTGAGGCAACTTCACATCTAATATCATGGTTTACGACGTTCGTTTAAACTTTAACTGCAATCAAGCTTTCTCGAGAAATGCAGAATAAATCGCTGTACGTGCAACAGCCGATGGCAAATTATCCATAAATTTACTCAGCGGAAAACATTACTAAAATATGGAAAACCGATGGAAAACATTTGAAATCTCCATTGTCGTCCGTAATATGCCGATAAAAACGTACACTTCGACCTAACTAACATTTGTTTAACCAGTTCACGTAGCGCCATTCCCTCGTTAGTCATTTATCAAGAATGAAAATCATGAAAATAAAAGAGTAATTAGTTTCAATAAATATTTATTGGGAAATCAGAAGGGGGCAATTGATGCAGATGTGTGTGCGATGTAGAGGCACTCGTGCCGCAACGCTCATGGGAATGAGCGATGGATGGCACGCGAGCCCCGAGCGGCCGAGCGCTTAGCTGGGGGGAGACTGCAGCGTCGGCTGCACAAGCAAGGGGCACGGAAGCGGGGCCTCGGCGGCGCTTCCACACAGCTCAAGTCGCACACGCAACGCATCGAGCCAATCAAGAAACAATATACTTTGGTACAATAAAAAACTATCGAATTTGCTTTTGTGAGTACAAATGCAAAAAATCCAAAAATAAAATAACTCAAGATAAACATCATAAAAATGATACAATAAAGGTTTTCTGTACAAGCTACAAAATGGTACCGATGCAAGTAAATGCATAGGCCTTGGGAGAGGGGAAGGTGAGCGCCCATACACTCCCCTCTCACTAAGATGAGACATGCTCCTAAGAGGGCAGACAGGTAGCATAGACTCCTGCCAGTGCTGGCTTAGCAACTTTCCTAAGTTGACGCGCACATTAGAAGGCAGTTACTAACTGATGCGACACAAGGAGCAACGTAATGGTGCACAACAGGGCTCAGCAGCAGCTACTAAACAAAGCTTTTGAAGAGGTTATGCACAACAGAAGGGGATGATTAATATCAAGAGCAAGTGATTAAAAAGGCTACGAGGAGCTAAAGATTGAGTGACGCGCCTTTCAGAGGCTCTGAGAGATCAGGGACGCCTCTAGAAATGTAGTAGCCGAGAGGTTGGCGCTGCTTGTAAGCACTGCACGGCTATCGATATATTTGGGGCATACACGACAAGTGCCGTGCACGAGGCGCATGGAAGAAAACGAGTCTTGATTACCACACCAGGACAAGACAGCGTTATCAGTAATAAAGTAAGAAACAATCACTTGAAAAACCCCTATTGTCTTACTCCACAGTCGAGGGTGACAATCGACGGTAGTAATTTCTCACGCCAAAAAACATACTAGGGCGCTCCATATTGTCACCACTCGCCAAACCAAGATGCTAAATAACATAAGGACACCTACATACAACATAAAATACACGAACATTAGAAAATCCAACACAGCAAGACTTTCGTCATTCTCAGTGGGACTTCTGAACGATGTCATGAGCCGAGCACTAGAGGTCCGGCGCGCTCACTCAACACTCCGCGCCTGTGCAGTCAATTAGAGGCGCCGAGCAAGTCCAAATGAAGAGGAAAATTCTACCATCAATCCATTACAGTCTGTTACGTCACCAACCGGTACAGAACCAATTACGTTAGTTCAAGTTAAGAAACAAAATACGAGTATGTGTGACCGCGGTCTGGTGCATATTAATGAAGAAATAACCTATTCTTTGAAATTCTAGCAAACATTAGTACAAGCAACGTTGCACCTGAATGTAGAAAACAAATGCGCTCACATCTCTTCTTACACTATGGAGCTTCATTCAGATCGTAAGGATAACTATCATCATTTCACCTACTGTTTCATCATTGATAAGAGTTCAAATCACCCAAAATGCATCCCATTCAGTGCACCATAAATATGACAGTATAATTACGCACTGCATTTCAGTAAGGTGGTTACACCAAAGGAATCTGAAACGTCGCTCCATCAGAAAGACTTGAGAGACACTAATTCTGCAATCTATGTTCGAGTCACTTCATTTCACAAGTTCACCTCAAAGCTAGTTGATCATCACGTAAATTGCCTAACACGAGCTGTGGCAGTAGAATACATATGACCAAGTAATGTCGTATTTAGTAAGACTGAAACGTACCAATAGCATAATACGCCCAAAAAATCAATTCTGTAATGAGAACAGAGTTGAAAATCAACAAAAAAAAAGCCCTTTAACGTTATTACTGTACACTATATATATATAAAGCATCTTTTTCCGGAAAAAACATTTACCGAAGCCAGACGAAGGAAAAAGTATAGACAAGGTAAAGACATTATTCGTACGCGGAATGAGACAGCATTAAAAAATGGCGTCGAATGCTATCTTGCTGATAAAGCCTAAATCCTCCAATGACAGCAACACAATTAAATAGTCAATAATATATAAAATTGTGATCAAAGTCAACAAAATAACTAAATGCTTAGAGGTAACACACTATCACCCAACCACCAACATCGTAAAATGAATTAGTATAGAAGAGTCTGGGACGACACATAGCTAAACGGAGGTGTCACGTGGGTTCAATGGCAAGGCTCTCAGCACAACAGGAGCAAATCATGAAGCTGGTGTGGATTTGGCACAGAGTTTAGTTTATTTACTACACAAGGGACGCGACAGTAGAGCCGCCCAAATCAAGCTATGAGTTCAGAACACAGAACACGATGCACTCTTCGGAGACCGACTGGCGTACACGAGCGTGGCAAGGGACAATTGAGAAAAAAAGATTATAGTTCATGATCGTGATAGGGCAAGTGAGACAGTACGGGGAGTGTGTAGCAGGACTAGCAGCACACGAGTGGTGGTTGTGTTGGTGAGAAGAAATGAGCACAATGAAGAACACCAAGTATTTCACTGCCACAGGGAATGCACGGATATCTCCAGCAGCCCACACGCACACGCTAGCACATACACTCGCACAGGACGCGCTCACGCTACCTAGGTACCATCACGCTGTACAAGCAATAAAGCAAACAACAGAACTAGCAACATCACAAATTTTCCCTCCACGTTAATAGTCCAAAAAAATACTGAAATTTACATAAAAGGAATATTCCCAACTCAGCTAGAATGACTGAGTTTATAGGTTCATGTGACAGTGTTACGATCTTGACCACAAACACAGAAAAGCATAGTAGAATTGAAATTGAATTGGAGTGAGAGCAAGCGAATAGTGTCGAGTAGAATTCGCTGACAACTGATTTGATGACTTCGTCTAATCGGTGGTCTTTAGTGGAGAAATAACACCTCTCAGACCAAATTGTTGCATAGTGATGACTAGCTATGGTGTCAATATAATGAGGCTGAAAAAAATGCATCGAAATGTAGCAAAGTATTGGCGACATGGAAGATTCAAGGAACAAATGATGAAGTAGAGGTTAATTCGAAACAAAAAATATTAGGACAACAACTGTGCGTGTGCGGCATTAGCTCCAGTAGACTAGGAAAAATAGAATACAACACACTGCACTCACTGCTTGCAGTTCTCACAAAACAGGATGTGCATCCACAATATAAAACGAAATTCCAATGGGGGAAACACCTTGAACGCTATAGTGCAGCAGCAAAAATTTGACAAATTTAATAGAGAAATAACCCTGAATAATCCCAGGGTTCATTAGATAAAGAAAAATGCATTAACACTGTTATGTTGTTAACCGCTGTTGGGTCATGCGGTTACTGTGGTCAAAGCACTTATAGTGGGAGACGCATGGCGCGCGTCTTACCTAAGATCTTTGAAGAGGCTATTGAGAAATGCACTTAAAAAGTGCTTCAAAAACAGCAATTCATCAGAATTGCAACAGAAGGTTTATGAAGCAATGCGATACCGCGACTATCTCCAGTTAGGCTTGACATAGCAAGACTTCTTATATGGCTTAATGAAGTCAAAAACTGCGGTCATATTAAAACCAATAGCAGTTACCCATTCTCATTCACACCAATAGCTGTGCCCTAGAGAAGCCCTTGGCAGTGACCCAGCGAGGCCATTGGCAGTGGCTCAAGTCAGCTCTTTAAAGCGGTGGACCAGTGCAATAAACCATGGACCAGCAACGTGTAACCCAGTGAGGCACGTTCAGTAACCACATGGAGGCATACAGTAGCAGCCCAATGAATCCCCTTGCAATATATCGGCGAGGCTTTTAAGCAATTGTCCAATGATGCATCTATTAGTGACCCAGTGAGAACTCTTGCAGTGGGTCATTGAGGCTTGTTGCAGTGGCTCTAGAAGTCCCTTATTGTGGCTTAGCGAGGCCGCAGGTTCAGAAAGATTTGCATCGCAGAAGTCGTGGCGTGCAACCAATCTTTACACAAGATTGTACTCTTTCAAGTTCAACTGAAGGATCGTGTCTTTCACGGCCGCAAAGACGAATCGAATATTGTCCGTGTCTGAAAAATGCCAAAATGATTAGTAAGCAGCAACATTACCCAATGCACACACTGAATAACTATTACTCAAAAGTTCGTGTCTGATGCTTAAAATTTTCAGAAATTAGTGTTGAAGAGAAATAATATCGTAAGCTGGCATTAAATGAGAACTTATACTTGGCTAAGTTAAGTGCACCAATATCTCGTGATGATTGAATTAGTTCGTATCTAGACTAAAAAATTAGATCGGAAGCGTAAGTTATGACCTACACATAGAGGTTTAGCCAAACAATTATTTAGAATCTTCAAATAACATCAAAATGATCAATCATTCGTTTTCAATCAACAGACAGGAACTTACCTCCGACAGTGTGAGAGTCCCGACTTAAGAGCATGCAACCCATGCAAGAAAAATTCAGTAAAATTCGTAAAAAAAAAATCAATAAGTGAAGATCATCATGGGGCAACAACGCGCATGGGCAAAATAAAAACTGGAAAAATAGGCTAAGTCCAGGAGGATTGGTTTTCGAAATTAAGAACAGAAACAACGCAGCAGGACTGGGCTTCAAGAACTGTTGATGCAATGCTATTAATAAAAGAATACAAACGTGTACCGTAATCTAAAGTAAAATTTTGTCCAAATATTACAATAAATATAATGAAATGATTGTTCAGCATGTAATAAAGGTAATACGTTAGATTACGCAGATCTCTAAATTGCTAAAATTTTAAATTCTTATGGTCATAATCTGCTCGTTTCATGCTCACAAAAATTCGGAAATGATAATCAGAAATGAAAGCAAGAAGTGTAGGCTGAAGACAGGGTTGGCCATGATTAAATCAAACTGATTAAATCATGCGATTAAATATTTTTATTTTTGTATAAAAAATTATTTTTTTTCTTCATTTTTTCGATTTTTATATTTTTTATTTATTAAAATATATTGAGTGGCAGTCTTTAATTTATTTTGAGGCATTGTTATTCACGGTTTAGTGTAAATTTACTACGACAAATTGGAATATAACCCTGTTGCCTTTAGTGTGTATTACGTTCCAATGAATTGTATATTTTTGGTACAGAGGCATCAAGTGTTGCAATACATTGTACATAGCTAGCAGCTTAGCTAATTCTTATAAGACTATAAGTAATCTTCAACTAACTATTTGACTATTTGTTATATATTAATTACATTATACAATTTACATTACATATGTTATCTAGCTTATATAAGAAGGGTTGGTTGCGATTGTATTGACCTTTTCAGCGTTTAGAAAGATTTTCCACACTAATATGAGTATACTTATTAAAATATTTAATTTCAATCTTCAAATATGTGAATTTATAACTAGAAAAAAACAATTACAATTATAAAACTATATATAAAAGAATGGAAATAAAATGTTTGAATTGTGTTAATTTCAAACAGTGTTAGCTTTTCTCATAACATAAGTCTCGTTTCAAGTCGTTTGAGGTTGGTTTGGTTGTTGTTCAGTTTATGTTTAATCTTGATTTATTGGTCTGAATCAAATGGGAACAGTGCAGTCAGTCACTACTAGTCGGTGTATTCAGAGGGTAGAGTCTGGTAGATTTATAGGACATAAAACAAGCAGATCCATTGATAGTGTTGTGCACTGTGCTATTAGCTACCCATCTGTTATGTGACTCTTCAATGTTTAAAAGATCTGCATTCCTGAAGTGTTGTTTAATATTGAAGCCAGTTAAATGGTCAATATTTAGCTCGTTACCTTGCTCCATACAAACTTTACAAAGCTAATGAATAGACTTATCAATAATGGTTACCCAAAGTCCAAAAGTGGTAAACACCACCGTGGCCATTCTTGGAGGCAATAACTGCCCTATTTAGCCATCCAAATACAGTTATTGTTAGAAGGTTAATCGCATCATAAAAAATAAAATAAAAAAACTGAAAAAGAATTGAAAAAATCATGAAAAATAAAAAATCAATTTTTTATTTTTTTCAAAAATCTTAAAAATCACCAACCCTGGCTGAAGACAACACCCGAAGTTGAGAAGACAGAACACTACTTGAAGCGCAGCTAACTTCAGCTTCCTGTGTGAATTTAGCTGATCACTCAGCACTTAGAATGATTCCCTACAATATATTTACAGAAAAACGCGTCGTGGTAGCCAGGAAACACCATCATTCAACAGTTACTAGTTATTCAACTAGTATTAGACTGGCACTAATATAAGCTTTAGAAATGTACAAATTTTAGCAAGCAAATTACACTCTAAATCAAATCAAAACTCATGTTAGTGCATGCAGAAAGAAAAAATAATCAAACATTAGAAACATTCGACACAGATACTATAGACATATTAGGAGCAAGAAGGGAGGCGGAGAGTCTAGCTCAGGCCAGGTTGTATTCTTTGAGAGCATTTTGCATAAGCGTGTCTTTGACGGCACAGAACACAAGCTTGATATTCTCCGTGTCTGTAGCATCAATCGAGTTGCAAGAAAATATGAAGCCATTCAAACAATACGAAACAACATACCAAGAACATTCCACGATGTTATTAATATGCTTACTAAGCATTTGATGATAGAGCGATATACTGAGTGTTAAAAGAATAAAGAGATTAACCATTGAGGGTCGATATTTGAGGAAATTTTTTTATGAGAGGACAGTGTTATCCATGCAGCACATTCAAGAGAAAACAAAATAGGAGGAGAATGAGTGTCCTAGAAGCTGCAAACAACATGCAAAAGAACGGAATTTTAAATCACAAAACAACTACGTAGTAGACATTTAACAGTATATCATGCATCCACAAACATCAATTAAGTAAATCACTAAGTATCAGTATGAATGCTTGAAAGACAATATTCTGCGTATTAAGAACTAAAATTCTCATTAATCAAACAGCACAAGTCCAATGCTCAAAAAGCATTCAATAGATCAGACCTATATTATAATGTCAGTTTTTTCCTTTATTATGAATAGAATAATAATGCTCACGTTGGGCGAGAATAAGAATAAGTCAATAGTCAAAAGCAGTAACCCCATCTGCTCTACATGGTTAAGAAAACATGGACTGAAACAGAATCACGATTACACTCGGAAAACGAACAAAAACAAACTCCGGAAAAAGCAAAGCAAAGCAAACTTACCTGAGCTGTAACAACGCACGCATACGTCGAGACCAACTACGACTAAGAGAAGCAATACAAGGAAGCAATACAAGGAAGCAATACCTGTGGCACATGTGAAATGCGAATAGATTATTTTGTCAGGGTCAGGGTTGAGGTCAACAAATATCCTCAAGATGAACTCGCGTGCAGCGATGGCGTCCTTTACTGGACCTGTAAGAAGCAAATAGCAGTAAAGAATACAACTAATGATCCGACTAAATACTTTGGTCGAACTATTCAACAAATGATTCAACTACAGAAGCTGATATGAAACTACAACGGCGCAAGAATGTACAGGGATCCAATAACAGTACATCTTCGATCGAGTATCAATGCATGATTGACTGTCAGTAAATAATTTTTCACACGTCAACAGTGATGCGTTATTAATTGCTGTCATACAATCGTGATCTTGAAGTTAATTTGATACATTGGAGCTTTATTTCTAAAAACATTTCAAAACCTGATAGTTTCTGGGAACCTTAATTCAGGGTCCAGCAGTGCAGATTTGTGGCAAGCATTGCCAGAGTCAGGATTAATCAAACAGTAATTAGAAATTAAGCAACCAAACTTCACACTGCAGGGAGTGAAAAATGCAATCACTCCGTCAAAAATTACATAGCACGCACGTCAACATACCGCGTAACTCGGGTTTACCAATCTCTTGATAATGCAAAGGGGGTGAGCAGTTGAAAGCTATAAATGTCGCTCGAAGATGTCAATATATATCAAAAAAGTATTTAGTAGTTGCCATGTTAGAATACGAGTGGCGGAGACACACGAGATCGAAGTTGTTTATTGTATTTTCTGGCGACCATTACGACCTTTACAAAAACTAATATTTTTAGGTTAAAATACTGGAAGTTAGAGCCCATATGAATACTGAACAGAATACTTAAATAATAAAACTACCAGTACAAATTACGCAGAATTTTTCAACAGTATCCAGAGCGCTCATAAAATCTCATTAAAAACAATTACCAGATAAAAAACTATAAATTCAAAGACACAACCTCAGTAATTTAAACGCTAACCTTTCCCTTACTGAAGATGATAATTATTTTAATCATTGGCGTTGAGTTACATAGCCATGGACATGCTATTACATTATACACAAGCAAGCAATTTACGTGGCAATCGTTCGTGACACATTGTCAGCATTAACCTCTTTTCTACTGATAATAACCTTGTTACCAGGTATTTAGTTATAATCATTAATGATAGATAATATAGCCGTAGACATAGCGTAACACGCGCGAGGGCTTTACGTTGCAATCATCTCTGACCTGTGGCACATGTGAAATGAGAATAACACATGCGGTCAGGGTCGGGGTTAGTCTTGAGATAAATCTGTAGGATAAACTCCCGTGCTGCAACGTCATCTTGTTTAGGGCCTAATATCATCCAGAGCCGCAGTAAAAAACCCACATTGTATATCTTTTAATAATATTTATCTTCATGACGTCTTGCACAGAAACATTCATTTTATCAACAGCTTAGGTTGTTGGATACCTTTACCTTTACTAAATCCACTAGGAGCGATATCAGAATATATTAAAAGTACTTAGGACAAACGCCAATCTTGATCTCAATTATCCTCGACGCAGAAGGTTCAACTTGGTAGTCAACTACTTCCATTCTTATGCTTTTTCTAGGTAGTTCTGAGGGTTAACCGGAACTTTACCAAAGAAGAAATTGAATTGCAAAACTTCTTTGAAAAAAAATGGCCACTTACCGTCATATTCGGGGAAGTAGTCCACTAGATGAGAGTGCAAGATCTTCTCCTCGAGCAAGTCCTTCTTGTTCAGGAAGAGGATGATGGACGAGTGCAAGAACCACGGATACGTGATGATCGTCCTGAATAGCGCCTTCGACTCCTCCATGCGGTTCTGCCAGGCAAGCAAGAAAATCAATTCTCAAGTAAACGAGTATCCCTACGGAAATGTCATGTCAAAGTCATTGCAAATGTTAGCACAGACTATTATAAACTGATAATGAATAAAATATAAAGTTTTGTCCTAAAAAGAAATTTACTTGTGAAATGAAGCTGGTGCTCATCCATCTTTTTAATCATGAAACAGTAAGGTGCACTCACCAGCCCCCTGCAGGCAGTATGGGCTAAGAGACAAATGCCACATTCAAATTGTTCAATTCACCCTTCACCCAACGGCACCGTGCATGCAATGCTGTTTGGCGATGCATGCAATTCTTTTTGGCGATGAGAAGCCAACCTGATAATTACCTCATTATCAGATTCAAAAAGAATCTGATCGTACTCAGAGAGCGCCACCAAGAAGATAATGGAAGTGACGTTCTCGAAGCAATGAATCCACTTCCTTCGCTCTGACCGCTGCCCACCCACGTCGACCATTCTGCAACACCCCCAAACCTCTTTATAATTCAAGAATATTTTTTAAAAAGCTCAAACTTTATAGAGTACAAAAAAAAAGCCAAGTCTTGTATAAAAATATTTTCAATATATCAATGCACAAAGAATTCAGTAATTCAACTGCAGATAATATGAACTCTAGATCAAGTCTAAATATCTCTTCAATTGCGCGTTAAAGTGGACATGCCCTAAAGATATTGACGACACTCGTGCTAAAGGAACGTAAAGTTAAAAGATGCAAGACGACTCGGACATCTACCCACACAAACATTGACCTGATGCCTCAGTTACTAAAACATTGACATCAAAGTTAGGCTGAAATGATATCACTTCATTTCTGAATCGCAAATTGCAACAAAAAATTCAAATTTTGCAATACGTATCTTGCAACAAATTACAGTGAAAGGCATGCAAAACGGACAGCAAGGATTTTGATTATTTCAAATAAAAATTAATACTCCATTGGAACTTATATTTCCAACTTTTATTGGACACATAAAATTAACTTGATTGCGAACACAAACATTGCTTGTTCAAAGCAAAAACTTATAATTGAAGTCAGTAAAACAATAAATTGAACATGCAAGACGTAGCAGTTACACAGCCAAGCCTTGTAGGTCTTGTGAAACTAGAGCTCAGACTCGGATAGAAACACGAATAAATAGTCAACTATTGCCTTACTACAAAGCTACAAAAAGGAGTATTTTATAAATAAGAATTAAATTAGGAGCTCAAAGCCATGAATCATTCCATGAATAAGCTACAACTAAGATGAGACAATGAGCAGCACATGGCACAGTCTGATGTAGACGCCGGTCTCATTGTAGGTTACTAGTCTTGTGAGTATAACAGTACATTGCACTGAGCAGCTGTTGGGACTCTACCTAAAGATGATCGAGTCCAGATCAAAGGGATACTCAATGATGCCTGTGGTGGGTACTCGAGCTCTCAGAATATCCTGTTCCGTAGGCAAGAATTCAGGGTCAACAATTCGTTCCAAATCATCGAGGTAGCTGGAACAAAGAAAAAGAAAAACATGCCACTCAGAGTGCTATGAGAGTAAAATGATCAAATACGGTACAGCATGAATGACATCCACAATAGTAATTGGAAGGAACAAATAAAGAATGAGTGCAGAGAAAAAAAAGACAAACATGCCAAGATCGCAATAACGAAAAAGAGTCTACGTAATAGAATCATGGCAATAAATACTTCCTAACGTGAAGAGACAGAAAACAAGAATGAAAAAAATAATAGACAGCACGGCAGCGGCGGCAGCAGCAGCACGAGCAGCAGCAGTAATTTTACAACAAATCGTCTGTGGCTAGAAGCTAACATGAAGCCATGCACCACGGCACAGCCACGTGCCTACCTTACCTAAATCTGATCTCTTCCAGATCAAAAGGGTATTCTATTATACCAGTTGTGGGGGCTCTCACTCTAAGTACATCTTGTTCAGTAGGCAGGTAGTCAGGAGCTGCTATGCGGTCTATACTTGATAAATAGCTGGGAAATGAGCGAGATGGCAGCGTTAACACATCACACATCACCCATTATTTCAGCCAACAGGAGCATCAACATAAGCAGTTGTTTTCATAAAGCTTCACTGGCCGTTGACAACCGCAGAGCAATTAGTATATTGAATAAGACTAGATGATGAATGAATACAATTATTTGAGAATGAACTTACACTTCAATCTGAAATTTGAAGTCCCATTTGTAAAAAAAAATAAATAGGTACATAAACTCGTAAGCATACCTAATCAAAGGCACAGAAGTTTAATATTCTGTTAAGAGTTATGAGTCTGTGGTGTCACTGAGTTAAAAATTATTAGTGTGATAAATCTGGTTGCGATTGAAGTCTTTCACCAAAAATTCGCAAAGAATTATTGAAATGGATCCACCAAGAATTAGCAGATGAAATGCTTATAGAATTCAATGTTTCCTGTTGCTTCGGCACTGAAGAGTAGAATACAATACACTTGGTGGTTACAAAGCAAAAGTGAATGAAAGAGAACCAAAATGTTCCAAGACTTTAATCACCGGCTCAAGGAAATATAATGTATCTTCAAAAATAGTGATAAGCATATGCGCGTGTTGGTGTCAGACAAGAAGTGTGATAAGAATGGTTAAGATTAGTAGAGACTTGTTGATCAAATCAAATTCTAATAATAAGTTACCACATCATTAAGGCTTTTAAAAAAAGATCTGCAGAAATCAAAGAGTCAAGGACAGAAACAAGAAAATACTGTGGAAGTATTGCTCAAAACTGCTAAGATTATTTTTAAAATAGTACCTACATTTACAATATGAACAGCATTCACTGTTAACAAATAAGAGCCTTGAAATGACATTGAGATACCTTAGGCTCTCAAACCTGTAATAATTGAGCACTCGTATTAATAAATTACACATCACAGAAAAAAACCTGGGATCTATGGATTAAATTCAGTTTATACTTGTTCAAGAAATTCTTAGATTTATCTTATCAAGATTAACTGGCAGAAGGCACTTCAACATATTTCAGTGAATAAAAGAATCATTAATGGCATTTTGACAGGAAAAATGCATAAGAACTTACCAAAGCAAAACTAGAGTTCAAACGATTCTAAAAATTTACCTATTCATGACGTAGATACAACACTTGCAGTATTATGGTATCAATAATAATATAATCATAATAACTAAAAGAAAGCTAAATTACTCTAATGAATATAGTGATGCAAGGGTTGGTAGAATTTGAAATTGCAGTTTTACAAACAATTTCATCCTCAAGAATTTTACAGCAGCAAGTTATTTTTTTGCAACAATAAACACTATTCAACATGAGTCATAATTTGTACACTAATGGCAAATAGCTAAAGAGGATGGGAGACATAAGATCTTATCCCACTTACTACTTAGCAGAGTCAGTGAGCTGATACTCTCTACGCCGGTCATAGCAGTCCTGTATGCCCGGATCTTGCCATAAGCTTCTGATGGCTGTTATGTAAGGCTCCTCAAATGTTGTCACATTCTCGTACACCTTTGACTTTACTAGAGTGGCATACTCCTGAGTATGAGAAACAACAATTGAAGTAAAATACCATAGTGGCTTCAGAGCATTATAGAACAAAAAACATACAACAATGGGCTAGAAAGAACTAGTTAAATTACTCAATTACAATTACTCATTCACAAGATTTGTGATGATGATGAAATTATATTTGAATTTGAAATATAATTTGAAATAGTAAAGAAATGCAACTTGTATCTCATGGAAACAGATTATGTAAGATACCATAAAATGGGGTAACTTAGACTCCCGGGGTAACTTAGACCATTTTTCGTTTTTTTTTTAACAGAAACACCCAAAACTCAAAAAATATTTGACATAGAAAAATTTAGTCAAGGGTCATTAAAGGCCTAATACTGAGGCTGCGTAACACAATAGAAAGATTTAAAAAGTTTGCATATCTAAGAGGTTAGAAAATTAAAAATGTGACCCACAAAAAAGAGCTATTATATAAAGCCTGTTGGAGTACCCCCTCCAATTTTTTTTATTTTTTTTTTGTAAAATAACTCCAGGTTTTGAAGCATTGTAGTAGAACTCTTCTAGTTACATATGCAACTGACAAATTTTAGGAAAGTGTCATAGTTTGCAAATGGGGGGCGCCACCCCACAATGGGGGAACTGAGACCACCCAATGTCAGCCCTGACGGAGTAACATAGACCAGCTTGGAAATTAATTTTAAATTACCATATATAACATATTTCATGTTTGATACACCTGTTAATGTTTTTTCTTCATGTTTCAGACTCTACAGAGTCTTGTATATGGTAATTTTAACTTAATTTCCAAGCCGGTCAATATTACCTCTTCACGGCTGACATTAGGTGGTCTAAGTTCCCCCATTCGGGGGAACCCCCCATTTGCGCCCTCCATTTGCAAACTATGACACTTTCCTCAAATTTGTCATTTGCATATGTAACTAGGAGAGTTCTACTACAATGCACCAAAACCTGGAGTTATTTGGAGTTATTTTACCGAAAAATATAATTGATTTTACCACCCAGTCTAAGATACCCCAAGAGCTGGGGTAAATCATTTTTTTTTTTTTTTTTGAAATTACAGAAAAACTATGAGAGGCAGGAGCCAGCAATTTATGGTGAGTGAACCTAGAGTATAGACCTGTATTTTGCATGTTTCAATTCAAGTTTAATTTAGCTAGTAAAAAAATGGCCAGCATCATTTAAAAAAAAAAGTAGTCTAAGTTACCCCATTTTAGGGTATGTGTGGGATTTCCACTACATGCTGACAATTTTTTATTCAACGGAAATAATCTGATTAACAAATAACAACAGAGAAGTCACAGAGTTATCTACCAAATGTTGTTGAAACCTCCCTCTGAGCCATATAACTTTGATAAAAATGAGCAAGATAATCTCACTTGATTTTGTGAGTCCCCATAGGAGATATTCAAGAGCTTCATAGCATCCACCATGGACTGCATGGCCATGAAGATATTTTGGTAGACCAACTTGATGAAGCCTCTTTTGTCATCATCGGAGTAGCCTGAGCCATGGATGATGCGCATCTGTTTGATGAAGGTTGATTTGCCTGACTCTCCAGTCCCTGCAAAACAGCAAAGACATGAGTTGTATATACAGCAAAGAAAAATGCTTTCATTAATTGTGATTTGAAGAAGATAAAAAAAACTTGTATTTCCCTTAAGTGCAGAGATTATGTTTGATTAATATCTCCCTTATAAAGTGATTTAAGAAAAAATAGGTTAATTGAATATCTTAACATATCCTAGGTTATATGAAGTTGAGATGTGGTCATATAAGATAAATTCTTATGCATTTCAACAGCAGTTGAAACGCATTTACACAGTTACCAACCATGAAAAAATTTTCCTGAAAAGATGTTGCTGGATAATTGAACTTATTTTGGCAATGACCATACAAAAAGTTTGGGCATTTGTATCTACTCAATGTACCCATGGTAATGAAATCAAGTTTCAAGTATGAATGTATGTATGATGGAACCGCAGGTAAATATAAAGTTCTGTGTTTCAACAGTCAGTGCGAAATGTAAATGAAAGTATACTGTACAAAATTTACTCATTACTTTGACATTTCTCTCTAAAAAAAATTCCCTTATTCAAAATCAAATATATAGCTTTTTCTTAAGCTGCTATCCAGCTTCTGTCATACATTAATTCAACACTGCTAAAAATAGCTATTGTGTAGAAAATTTTGCTTCTAAAATAAAAATGCTACTGAAAAATTCTAATAGGGAACACATTAAAATAAATCTATTCATTAAATGAAAACTTATACTTGCATCGAATTGAACTAATAATGGAATCAATTAAAAAATTATGAGTCTAAAATATATACTAGCACAATTTTTGGGACGACCAAACATCTAATGATGTGGGTAAATGTTCTCTAGCCACTGGTGCCAAGAAGATTCAGAGATATATTTATATATTGACACTCTTATTTACATACTTTTATGGTCATACTATTCCTTTTTCTATTCATACTTTTATGGTCATGTTATTCCCTGTTTATTTCTATTCACAGTTTTATGGTCATGTTATTCCCTTTTTATTCTTAATAATACTTCTATGGTCATGCTATTCCCATTTTATTTTTATTCATAATTTTGTGGTCATGCTATTCTCATTTTATTTTCATTCATACTTTTATGGTCATGCCATACAAATTCAAATTAGTAGCAACAAAATCATGATATTTATTTATAGCCTTCCAAGTTGGTAGTATGAATCAATAATTTAGGGAGAAAAAATTCAAATAAACTAATATTTTGACAATATATTTATTACAAATTCAACTGAACACTTAACATGATTAATTTGAGTATTCTAAGCAAATTCGGAGATCTCAAATCCTCAATTTCTAGATAAAGACACTATACAGGAAATCATGTTTGATACGGTAGTGCATTTAGCAGAGAGGACAGAAACTAAGTTTTCTTTTAAAAAAGAAACAAGAATAAGATAATATTTTCTGCAAAGAAGCTTATGTCAAAGCCACATAAACTTTCATACAACCAAAACCATAAACAATGCCACACTTTCTGAAAACCTGTTAAATAAATTATATATCAAAACATCAAGAAGCTGAAATTTAAATGGAACACTTGTGCAAGGTTGACTCATGTTCCAACTTTTGAGAAAATTCACTATATTTCTTCATTGTTCAATCATAGGATAAAATGGAAGTTCAAGACTTGTCAGAAGTGGTGAGGTATATACATAGTACCACAAAAATCATATCCACAAATCAAGCACTTGCTATCTTGGAGAGAAAAATTGTCCTTGCTGGATTGTCTGGGATGCTGGCTTCAAGATGTTTAGAGGATAGTATCCATCTTTATTTTCTTCCCTGATGGCCTTGCAAGGAGCTGACTTTTCTCCTTTCTTTTTAATAATATCAGTTTGCATTTCAAGGTCTACTGGCACTTCATCCAACGTCACTTGTGCTTTAGAAAAAAGAAACTTGCGGCACTTGCACTTAAGAAAAAATGTGTAGCAGATGGCAATGTCCAAAGGATTTCTTCTCCAGCAGCGAGGAAGATACTTTTTATATCCAAAAATTATACCGCTTTCCACGAGAAGATTTTTGCTGGGCAAGTGAAGCTCCGCTGCAGGAGGAGACTCCAGTGCAATGATTTGAATTTTAGACTCCACAGTCCCCAACCAATCCACATTTGTCTGAAATAGAAATGACCACTACTTGGTTCATGTGCAATCTACCCTCTCAGCTGGTTAAAAGCTCTAGTGCTTACTGACATCCCACTTGTTGGAAATCAATGCCGCATATACCAAGTTGAGAGTAACATGGAAGTGCTTGGTAGGTATGTGCACAAAGTACACACAAATGTAAACAATGCGGGCAAAATGGCGGACAGCCACTTTTTGCATCGGCGCGCGAAAGGTATTTAATTTTGAAAGTTCCACCCAAATGATTGCTTAATTTGATTGACTTGTGTTTGGAAACGAACTAAAAAAACTTGAACTATGATGACACCATTTTTTTTTTTTCAAGAAATGTCTATCAAGTACATGTACCTGCTTAGCTGGGGTGTGCAAGGGGTAAGATTTGTGATAGAAATAAACATTGATATCATATTTTGAAATTAATGAAAGATAATTTGAAATCAAGATTATAGTTTTTAGAGCATGCTCTCAAAATTTCAGAGCTCTGCAGCCATTCTGACAGTTTTTCTACCATGTCCTGTCGCACAGTTTACGTTCAGTTCAGTCATGAGCCAGTGAGGTACGCTGGTCCTGAACTACTGCCGAGACTGAGACATGAGATGAGACATGAGACAAGACATGAGATGAGGCATGAGACAAGCTACGAGATGAGACATGAGATGAGATGTGAGATGAGATGCGAGACGAGACACGAGACAAGACATGAGATTGGACATGAGACGAGGAGATGAGACATGAGACGAGACGTGAGATTGGACATGACACGAGGCATGAGACGAGATTTGAGATGAGATGTGAGACGAGACATGCGACAAGGCATGAGACAAGGAGACAAGCATGAGACGAGATGTGAGACAAGAAATGAGATTGGACATGAGATGAGACACAAGACGAGATGAGATGAGGCACGAGACGAGATGAGATGAGGCATGAGACGAGATGAGACGAGATGAGACGAGGCACGAGACGAGATGAGATGAGGCATGAGACGAGATGAGACAAGGCATGAGACGATATCAGATGAGGCACGGGAGGAGATGAGACGAGGCATGAGACAAGGCACGAGACGAGATGAGATGAGGCTTGAGACGAGATGAGACAAGGCACGAGATGAGATGAGACGAGGCATGAGACGAGATGATGAGATGAGGCACAAGACAAGATGAGATGTGACATGACGATAATGGTCATATTTAATATTATTATTAATATCAATATTCACTAATATTTATTATAATTAGTTAAGAATTAATATTAATAAAAATTAATCATATTATTACTAGTAAATTTTATTTGTGTATTCTATTTAATTTCATATTTTTACGCTCAATTATGAGGCCAAGACCATGAAACTGAAATTTATTCCATCCAATTCTGCCTTTAAGTTAAGTTATAGCATTCATATCTAGCAGTTGCACCCATTTCCCCCACCCACCTGCAGTCAAAGTCTCAACCAAAATGTTTTATTCTAGTTAGAATAGATAGCCTACAACATAAGCTTTCCAATTGTACTAAAAACTTTGAAATTGGCTTATAGGAAACCTACAAATGATAGTTTTTCCAAAAAAAGTGACAGAAGTTGGTCCATTTTTGCGGTATAATTGAAAATAAGAAAAAATTAATATCTTTTTCATTTTTAAACTTACTTAATTCATACTTATATGATATTTTTCTAAATTTTTTTCTCTTTTCAGTGGTGTAATTTTCATTACGATCAAAGGAAAAAATTTTTTTGTGCACATAGCTATGCTTGGTTCATCCATAAATTGACCCTCAAAGAGAGTTCTCTGGCATGCTGGAGAGTAGTGTGAGGCATGGCTAGGAAAGTGTCATAGTTTGCAAATGGGGGGCACCACCCCACAATGGGGGAACTTAGACCACCTAATGTGAGCCCTGACGGGGTAACATAGACCGGCTTGGAAATTAATTTAAAATTACCATATATAACATATTTCATGTTTAATACACCTATTAATGTTTTTTTCTTTACGTTTCAGACTCTACAGTCTTATATATGGTAATTTTAACTTAATTTCCAAACCGGTTGATGTTACCCCATCACGGCTGCCATTAGATGGTCACATTTTGCCCATTTGAGGGCGGCGCCCCCCATTTGCAAACTATGACACTTTCCTAAAATTTGTCTTTTGCATATGTAACTAGAAGAGTTCTACTACAATGCACCACAACCTGAAGTTAATATTGAAGCCAGTTAAATGGTCAATATTTAGCTCATTACCTTGCTCCATACAAACTTTACAAAGCTAATGAATAGACTTACCAATAATCGTTTACCCCAAAATCCCTAAGTAAAACACCACCTTGGCCTGTTGGCCATTATTGATGGCAATAAGTGCCCTTTTTAGCCATCCATTATGATCCATATACTGTTATTGTTAGTTAGGCTAATTGCAACATAAAAAATACCACTTCAAAAAAACAAAAAAGTTGAAAAAATCAAAAAAATCAAATAAATCAAAAAAATCATGAAAAAATCAAAAAAATCATTGATTTTTTATTTTTTTGATTTTTTTAAAAAATCAAAAAAATCGCCAACCCTGCTCAGTATTAGGCCTTTGATGGCCATTGACAAAATTTTTCTATGTCGAATTGTTTTTGAGTTTTGGGGGTTTTTGTTGAAAAAACGAAAAGTGGTCAAAGTTACCCCGCCGGTCAAAGTAACCCCATTTTATGGTACATCCTGAATAAAATGACAATGATTGGATTTGGTAAGTATTTTATGAACCTCATTTATAAATGGTAATGGAAATGTCCCTACTATTTCAGAAACTGTTCTTGAATACACTCGTGAAAACTAAAGTTCTGTAATCAATGGAGTCTTTGAAATGACAGAATCGTTAAATTTAATGTATTCAGCTAT